GGACCTTGCAATCTGACAACCTTTGCTCAAACTGTGCAGTGCTATCGGCAAACGAAGACATGGTCACAGGCAGCGTTCTAATGAAAAGTCGTGAGTCATGTTCACAGTGACACTTGTCGGCATGAAAAAGAAATAAAAGGAAACCTCGAGTTTGAACTTTACTCAAGACATGCCATGTCCACAGTTTGAGAGGGATTTCTTGAGAACATAAAGACATTGGCAAGATACTCTCCATGCTTTGTGAATTCTGGAGCCAATCGGCGTACATTGGGTATCATACCACGTACAGTGTCCCATGGACATTGCATGAGCTTCACCGCTGCAGCTTTCTGTCACGTGACATGCACACCAACCGCTCCTTTTTTTTACATCTTCCTGGCACACATCTTGCAGATAACATTCCAGGCACTCGATTCAGTTGACCTGCTATATGCGTCTGTCAGCCTCTTGCCACAGCTTAGAAACCTAATGGTCCAACCTTCATCGCCTTGTTCGTGCCTATGGAGGATATGGCTCTTCCTATGGACATACCATAGTTCATCAGCCGGCACCTTTGGCCTGAAACGTCTGACTTTCGTGGGCGGTTCTTCAATCGCACTGGACGCCGAGCTTTCAGCGTCGCTCGACGACGACGAGTCGGACTCGTCCGAGCTGACAACAATTTCTCCCTCCACCACCTCACCTGGCTGCTCTTCTTGCTTGCAATCAACTTCGACTGGGCCCAGGTCATCCTGGCTCACGGCATGTTTCTGGATAGGTGGTGCCGGAGGGAATGTTGGAAAGAAGTCTCTTCCCGGCGCATCTGGCAAGAACCTGCCCTCTGCAATTTCTACAATCACAGACTGGAGCTCTCTGGTCGGAGCCACTGTCAAATCTCTGCTGTAGATGGTGTAGGTGTCGACCAGGGCACCAGAGTGCCTACCCAGTATCGACCTCGTCGTTCCTGACAGGCCATATTTTGCACACCAAGACAGCGTGGTCGATTTCAATGAGTGCGAGGAGATTTCAAGTCTGCCGTCACCATTGAGCTGATCAAGCGAGTGTGTGACTGCCCTAAGCATGCCCGTGGTCTCTGAGGATGTCAGGCCTCTTTGTAACAATGACCCTGGCTCTCGATCAGGTGCCGGCAGCAAAGGGCCTTCGTCAATGTTGTCCACGGGGGCTCCGACGGCTTCAAGGGCTTTGCATGCCAAAGCTAGCCATTGCTCGCCATTGACGCCGATGCCAGGAATCAAAATCGGCAGAAGCTTGGACTTTTTCTCTGCACTGCGTCCGGTCTTGTGGTTTGATGTTGTGATCTCCAGAAAGCTGCACCCTTGACCAACGTCCAGCTTTGCAGAATGAATACACTGCAGATCTGAATGGCGACACCTCCCATAGAGCGCGATCAAGCAATAAGCACTGAAGGCACGGTCGTATGGATGTTTGCTACTGTCATTGAGGGCCTTGTGGATGAGGAGGACTTGATTGACCGTGAGGGGCGCTGCTTGCTTTAGCAAAGGCTTGCCTGCAAGTAAAATCTCTGCCAGTCCCGCGAGCCTTCTGCTGTTGAGGCAAGGGCCGAGGGTCTCCATTCCAAGGATATGCACTCCAAACCTGATGGCTGAGAGGCAAGAAGACGCCCTCGTTGCTGCCGCACCCACCTCCTTCAACCATGAGAAATCCGCCCGCACCGAAGGTGCTGGGGCGTGATCTTCCGGATGGCACTCGTAAAAGGTTACAGGTTTACCTGGGGGGGGGGGGGCATTTTTCGGCCAAAACCTCCTGTTTTTGATAGGTCGTGACGCTCGCCTTCAAAAAACACTGTAAAAAACAGTACGGAAGACACCTGTTCGTGAACGCGCCCGTCCAAAATCGGCAAGCGAAAAGTGAAAAAAACCCGTGTTTTTCAACTTTTTGACCTCAATTTTTTGGTTTGCAACATCTTTTTTTGCGGTTCCGCAGGTGGCCTGGCCCGGAGGCGGATTTTTGAGTTTTTGGACCCGTTTTCGGACTGATTTTCGTCGTTTTGTGATAGCAGAAACACTGGTTTTTACAGTGTTTTTCTGTTTTCTGCATGCTTGACGGCTAGCTTCAAAACTTCCAAAAACCTCGTAAATTACGCTGTTTTATGTTACGGTGTGAATGAAAACATCGTAAATACCAGTGTTTTTTGACGTTGGTTAAAAAAACACTGTAAATTACAGTGTTTTTGGCCACCTGACCCTCAAAAACAATGGTATTTGCAGTGGTTTCTGCTTCTCACCGCGCAAAAACACTGTAAATAAGAGCAATTTCGCCGTTTTTTCATGTTTTTCGTTATTTTTTGAACTGCGTTGGTCCGCTATACATGGCTATCAAATTCTTCGCGTGTTTTTTTCCGGCAATCAGTACTTTCGGATGTTTTTGGTCTCAATGGCCGACATCATTGGCAGTTACGAACGATGCGGTGCGGGCGGTTGCCGTCGCGAAGCGACGTGAATATGCCCAAACGTGTTGCTCTTCAAAGGGGTTGACCTCACTAGCAAGTTGCCTCGCTGCCCACCGAAGGTAGCTCAAGAGGGAGTTAGCTCTTTTCACCACCGTGGCTGGTGACTTGACTCCAACAATGGCGGTCAGGATCTTGACTGCTTCATCTTCGGAGTCTCCACCCTTAGAGGCCAAAATCTGTCTCCCCGCAACTGAAGCAAGCATACAATGCCTGAGCACTATCAAGAGTTTCTTGATGGCAGCATCCATGAGAGATGTACGCTTGGATGCATAGTCCTTGTCCGTGATGCTTTTCACGAAAGCTGGGTAAATTGCACTCTCTCCTGCCCCTATCTGAGGTTGGGCAGCTTCAGAGACTTCTGCCCTGCAGGCCTCAAGAGCCATTGACAAATCATTGTGTTGGCCCTGGTTTGATATCTCTATCTTTGGCACTATATCGGGCCATCCATCACCATCATTGAGGAGTTCTGCAAAGATGCCCTGTTCCCACGGAAGTTTCGTGCTGACAAGATCGACGTTTGTAAGCAGCGAGTGTGCAAACCATGCAGCATGATCTCCACTAGATAGCAAAGTGCGATCTACATCACTGCCTGTGTCTTGTAATGAAACGCCGGTGGATGATGCAATTTCACCTGCAGTGGACATGGGTTCCTGTCCAAAAACTTCATAGCCCTCGTGAAGCTCAGCGTCATCAAAACTGTCCAGTTTGCCAAACAAATCGGTTGTATCCAGGGTTTGTGAGCTGTGCACTGGGAGCGCAGCATCACTAGGCGTTTTGTCAATGGAGCCATGGGACCCCCGGTCAACCGTCATCAAGGCAAGGAGGAACAAAGAAAAGTGACATGCAACATGAAACAAGAATGAGAATTGGTTGCAAGCACCGATGTGAAAAAGGACATGGTACCTTGGTATCGATCATGTGATACAAAACTACTGAAGCCGAAAAATGAAGCAGAGATATACTCTGTTCAATGGATGTGCCAAGCACAGAAATGCGACATCCGCATGTGTGAAAGCTACACCGCGATCACATCTGAAGCTTCACCGCGTAGATTTTTGGCTGCACCGCATGCTGGTCACACCAGCTAGGATCAAATTTGAGGTATACCGGCTGTTGCGGCAAAATGGCACGGCAAGAATGAGATCAAACCTAATAAGCCGACTGTTGCGGCGAAAGGATGTACAAAAACTGGAAACTACAGAGGAACTCCATCATGTTGAGCATGCTGCGATCATGCGTCTGGCTCTGGGGCATCCACGGGATCCACAAGCTGACCAGGAGGTACAGAAAGACCTGGAAAAAGTGGGATCAACGATGAGTCCATCGCGCACAAGGATTCCACAACGACCCCCAGCGTGTCTCGGAGCTGATGCAGCCGAAGATCTCGCATGCCAACTTGCAACTTGAGGTGACGGATTTCGTCCTTGAGGTCGTTCACCTGCGCCGCTAGGTGCTCCGTCTCGGTGGCGAGGGTGCCCACACGATAGATCAGGTCTGCAGGAGGGGTCAATGCCAGGATCATCTTCGTTGTAAAACCTGCTGACCGTTGACTTGAGCCACACCTCAAGTCAAGCATTCCGTCCATGGCCCTAATTGCATAGGCCCTGATCTGGTCGTAGAGGATGCGGTCGCACACGAGGAGCATGATGCATTTGTTTGGGCTCAAGTCATGATCCCAGGGGACTCCAAGGGCGTTCCAGCGATCCAAAGGGGGGACCGTGTTGTGGTCAAGGTCGACCTCGATGGGCATGAGGAACTCGTTGACCTCGCAGTTGGGAGTGTTGAGGCGAAAATACCCCAAAATCCTGTTGATACTGTGGTCGTCTGCTGTCGTCCACCGCACCCGCAGCTCATGAGTGCTGACCGGGATGGTGGGCAAAGTCATGGGGCCCAATGTAGTGCCTGAAGTCTTAGGCCGGGCCGCAGCAGCAGGCGACGATGTCTCCATGAAAAAGAAAAACACACAAGCACAGTTCAAGGATCTACCAAGTCAAAAATGCTCTTGTGTGTGGGCACTAGCCAAAATGGCACGGATGCAAAAGGATGGATGTACAAGCATGAGACAAAACAAAACACTGCTGCAAGTCAGGCCATGACATCACTGTTGTTTGTGTTGTTTGGTTTTGGCATCAGGTTTATTGATCGCCACCGTACAGGCGTAGTTTCTTTTTGGACGATGTACTAATACACGAGACGATAGACGGAGTATGAACGCTCAAGATGTTTTCAACATCTTGTTTCTAAGGAGAACTTAAAGTACTATCAGAGGGCTGACAGTAAACATATTATATTATATTATATTATATTATGTCATGTTATGTTATGTTATGCTATGTTATATTATATTGTATTATATTGTATTATATTATATTATATATATATTATAACAAAAATGTATATATATATATAATATAACATTCTATACATATAACTATCATATAACCACCAAGCAGATTTGGAAACAGGAGATACTTGCACCTGATGAGTTGGATGAAATGACCTAAATCCACAACCGAAAAACACTCCAGGCCTTGCCAGACACCATGGGCTGAGTTGCCAGGTAGATCTGCGAAGTGGGTCGCACCTGCCAAGCCAAAGCCTCTTGGTACACACTTTGTTATCATTATATACATATCATTATCATATTATGATGGTTACATATCATGATCATCATTATCATTACTGTTATAGTTATATATTACTTTCATCATTATCATCGTTCTCATCATCATTATCATCATTATTGTCATCAATATCATTATCAATATCATTGTTCCCATATTTTGGGGAGATGCACGTCCATTAGCCAGCTATTTTCCATGTCGTCCCGGGGAATTGACCCAGGGCCCCAGTGCACCTCTTTGTGGATACGTTGCAGGTTGTAGAGACGCTGCAAGGTACCCCTGGCAACGTGGTTTTCAAGGCATCGCTGTCATCAGGCCGTTGGCGATTCCGACATCCACAAACTACATGGAGGTTTAAACTAACGTAGCTATGGGAAATCACCATTTTTAATGGGAAAACTCACTATAAATGGCCATTTTCAATAGCTATGTTATTCATCACCAGAGGGTAATGTGACTATTGGTCTTAAAAATGCCTAAGTACACATCAACAATCACCCAAAGTCCTGACAGCAAGCATCTAAGAGGCGATAACACTACACCCTTCCATCGATAGCACCTTTCCATCGAACAACCAGAACACCGATCTAGTGTGGTAAAGCCGTAAAGCCAATGTAATCCCCAAAATCACCATGAAATCATAAATGGGTGCTATAAACCATCCTCCAAATGGCACCCTCTGGTAATTTAACGTAGCTATTGAACATGGCTATAGTGGATTTACCCATTAAAAATGGTGATTTCCCATAGCTACGTTAGTTTACCAGAGGGTAGGTCTTCGCCATTGGCCCGGGTCCCCCCGGGCGCACAGCTCCAACATGCCAGGGAAAGAGGGCCACATGTCGCGGCTCATCTCGCTCTCAGACCACTCCTGCCCGCGCACAACGTGGGTCCGATGAAATCACTCAGCTTGGGATTGCAGTCGTTACAGGTATTACAGGTCAAATAAGATATATATATATATATGTAATCATATGTATATATATACATACATACATATGTAATCATATGTATATATACATATTTATTTAACACCATGTATATTCATAATAAAGAACTGTATGTACAATTGAAGTGGTTTCGAACACCAAGAATTTTATTCTGCCGTCCCTTCTCCAACGCGGCTGTCACTGCTGTCTTTCCAATTTTCTTTCTCGATTTGGATCGCTGAGCTTGTCCATCTGGTCCTCATAATCTGAGTCATGGCTGTGAGACAAACAAATGCGATCAGGTGAGTGCGGCCGCTTCTTCATCGGCGCCTCAGCTGCGTGGGCAACCCATCGGAAGCGATGATGTTAGGTTGTGGCTATATAGAATTTATAATATGTATATATATATATATACACTACAGCCTTCCCGACCTACTTGACTCTCAGACGCGCACAACTTTTGTGCCAGGGTCAAGTGCCGTCTGAATGTAAAAAGGCATCGCCCCACATCCCAAGAAAGCTGTACTTTGGGATGGGGCTAAACAAGGAAAAAAATCCTACCATCAACCTTCCCTTCCGGTGGTGAAAGGGGTGGTAGGAGGGAGCTTGAAACTCCGGTCATCCAGGCTTCATGTATGCAACCCCTGTCGGAGAACACATACACTACAGCCTTCCCGACCTACTTGACTCTCAGACGCGCACAACTTTTGTGCCAGGGTCAAGTGCCGTCTGAATGTAAAAAGGCATCGCCCCACATCCCAAGAAAGCTGTACTTCGGGATGGGGCTAAACAAGGAAAAAATTCCTACCATCAACCTTCCCTTCCACGCTTCCCTAACTCGGCTGCCACAAATCTTCGTTGGGCAGCGCGAATCAATGGTAGCTTCTGTACCGGAAGGTTGATGCTGGCGTACTCTTGCAAAGCTTGATCGAGGTAAAGGCGCGCTGTTGCGATGTGACGCCAACGTCCTCTCTCAAGCAACTCATCAAAAGATGCACCCTCACTATAGGCTGCAGTAGCTGCTCCTCTGCGGATGCTGTAAGGCAGGTAGTTGAAATCCTGCAAGCCCAGGTGATGCACCACATCCTTCCAAACTGATCGGAACTTGGCAGCGGATGTGGTCACCAAAAAGTCTTCCTTACGAAGACCTGCACACAAATAGCGCAGGCTTTCAATTGCAATCTTTTCCTTAATTAGCACCTTTTCTGATTGAAGAAGGTTTCGTTGTGTCGTCTTCGTGTTGACCAGAAAAAGGACGGCGCTCTGGTCGGGCATCCGAGGCAATATCACATGCTGCCTCTGCAAAAGGAACATCTCCCCCGTGCGAAGGAGTCCAGCATAGCCCACCGTGCACAAGCAGGCCAAGCGAGACCACTGCCATTGTAGCAGTACCCCCGCAAAGGAGAGCAAAAGAGATGGGCTAAGGGGTGTTGCTCGCCGTGGTTCCTCCAATTTGTTCCACAGTGAAAGGAGGCGCCAGGACTGTCTCAGTTGGCCCTTCAGCGACGGCCTGTGAAACTGAACCCCCGCAAGGGTGTAATTGGCCTTCACCTTGGGCTCTCCATCCTCCCACAGCATCTCAACATAGGAGGCCAAAACCTCATCGACTCCACTGCTGTGAAGGAGTTGCCTCAAGGGAGTCTTTGTGAAACTTTCTAAATCCTTGAGTGCTTCTTGGTACCTTCCTTTGGTACTTTGTGAAACCTGCTGCTCGGTTAGTTTTCCAATTTTCTGCCGCTCAGTGCGCCTCTCCTCCTTTGTGTTCATCTGCTTAATCTTTGGGGGCATACTTTCGACTGGGTCCATCAGCCGGGTTCAACCGGCTTGCAATCCAGGCCCACAAAGGATAGAGGTTCAGAGCGACGCACAGAGCAGCAATTTTTCTCAAGATCCTGTTGATCTTCCTTGACGAATTCCTTCCTTTTGTCAGCACTGCCAGGCATATCTGACTGTCCGACAGGTGCAGGAACCTGCAGCTATGGAAGGCAGCAGAGCGGGCTCGCCACTGGAGCGTTCGCAAAATTGATCGCAACTCCAGCAGGTTGATGTGCTCCGCTCTCTGCCATTTGTAGGCCTGGCCCACCTTCCAGATCCATCTGTTTGGGCTCACTGACGTCCTCAGGACAGCATCAGGCCTGTAAACGACCTGCAGGTCGAGCCGCACATCAGATCCTCGGAATTCCATCCGCCGCAGGTACTGATGGATCAGCCGGACATTGAGGGTCTTGGCTTTTTCTCGCCCACGGGTACTGTGACCCGCCAGGCGAAGCCACTTCGCACGACGAGGCGACCGCTTTTCAAATTCCTCTTGGAAGCCCTCCTCGTCTCCTTCACTCAGCGGTGTTGCCTGCGACCCCTCAACATCCAGCTCCCCATAGTCCTTAAATTCTGTGACCCCCATGGACGCATGCCAGTCCTTCAGGATCACCTCTGGCGTCAGGGGATCAGTTCGTACCTGAAGTGACCACAACCAAAGATCGATCAGGCAGGCCACTGTCACTGCGTGGAAGCTGTTTCCCAACGCCGCCTCACGAGCTACGACCTGCCGGTCAGTTTCTCGCTCATCTTTGGCCTCCTTCTTGAACATCCCGAGCGTGTACCCAGTGGGGTACCCCAAGGCGCTCTCTCTCGTTCACCGACGCCACTCTAAGCTCCTTTGTCCCTTCATGTTGGAAGAGATACTCCTCCTTGTAGGTGTATGGAGGGTACTTCATCCGGTCAGCCTTCCACCGCTCAATTGTCGGCCCATCGCACGAGGCAATTCCGGCCGGAGAGGGCGGTGGCTTCCCTTTGGGTCGGGGGATGGCTCTGGTGAAGGTCGGCAGCCGCGCCCCTTCATCCTCCACTGCCGCCAGCCACTTCCATCCCTCATCAGGCACATGTTCCAGCGGTTCAGGCCCTTCTTCAAAAACCACTTCCTCATAGAGCTCATGGTGCCCTCGGGTGAAAGATGGGTGATCCTCCAGCTCAGCGCTGGCCCAATACAGCCGCGGTCTCCTCACCCACGACAGGCCACTGGAACAAACCTTGATGGGTCTGGCCTCAAGAACTCGACTCATCTCAGTGATGTCCTCCTCATCACCTACCACATTCTCCAACATTCCCAGGAACCAGATCTCCATGGATGCTGCAGTCTCGCTGATCCATCCCAAGACCTCCGCAAACTTGTAAAACAATTTTGACCTTGGGTCTTCCAAGTGCTGTCGGTGCACTGATAGTTTCGACAGTCCTTGGCACGGTGACCCTCCGCCAGCGATCACACCTGTGATGCCAGGGACACTGCGCATCATGCGCCCGATGTCTTTTCGGGTCAATTTCTCTATGTCCACCACGATGTCGCAACCTGGCCACCTCGTCAAGTTCAGGCGCCTGCATTCAGGGCTTTGTTCTACCACCACCAAGCGGTTGACTGGAACCTTTGCCAGCTGCAAGGCTCTTGATAGTCCTCCGATCCCTGCAAAGAAATCGAAGACCAAGATCACCTGCTCCTCATCAAAACTCAACTCCACACTCGGGACTTCCTCGAGCCCTTCCTCCGTGGTATAAACCTCTTTCAGCCCTTGAGAGGTCAGTCGGGCACCATAGACCATGCCTCCTCCATGCTCACTTGCGTCAGAGGCAGTAACCACCTCATTCAACCCAGCACGCAGGTCAGTCACCCTCAGGGCCTGACTCATGCCTGCCAGGAGCACTTCCTCCACCGACTTGACACCCAGCTCAAGCATGGGCGCCCCATCACCAACCTCTTTCCAGAGGTAATCGAAAATTCTAAAAAGAGGTCTCCTGAACTGGAGGGAGTGGACCTCCCTGCCCAAGAAGACTTGCAATGCCTTCCTCGGCACTTGGGTCTGCCTCAACAGCCAAAAGCCCAGAGATAGGCTGTCCAGTGCTCGTTTCGTCGAACACCTCAAATCTCCTCTGTCTCCATCAACCACAGCTCCCAGTTTCTCGGCCTTGGACGCCCTGATGAAAGCCTTCTCCTTGCTTATGGGGATTCCCCAATGCTGATAGGCCAGACGGAGCCGCTCCTGCTCCTCGCTGCTTTTTCCTTCCATTTCTTTGGCTATCTTGCCGTCCATCACTTCCATGATGTCCACATCATCAATGTACAGTGACCACATCACCTCTTCCAGCTCCAGGTCCGGGAAGATGGAGTCACGCCGGATCTCAGTGGGTCCCAGCAGTCCACCACCGCCTGCCATCGGCGATCGTAGCGCCAAACGACGGTGAGCATGCTGTAGGATCCCTACCGCACTTGACCACCCCATCGGCAGCACGGTGGCCCCCACATAAACTGCTCCATCTCGGTCTATTCCCAAGCATCGCCAGGCCACCTTTGCGGCGAAGCACATCAGCCGGCTCCACTCGGCTGGCAGTCTGAACAGATAAAAAGCAGCTACAAGATCGTCAGCTGACATCCGGATGACCTTCCCCGCCGGCAACACCACATGTTGAAGCGAGGGGGATCCGGCCAAGCTTCGGACGTCCCCAGTCACTATCTCCGTCACCGAGTTGACTGCACGGAAGTCCATAATGAGTCGGAGGATTGCCCTCTCGTCCTCAAGGAATTTCCCCGGCTTAGGGACGCCGAAAGCCCCGTTCAAGATGGCCCGCCCCTTGACCTTCACTGGGTCTTCGACGGGCTGCACCAAACCTCGCCGATAAAGCTCACCTGCTATCTTCTCCCATTGCTCTTGGCTCGCATGAACCTTTGGGGCAGGGACGTCATCAGGCATCTCCTCCTCAGGCAGCAGGGTACTCAGGGGATTCTCAAGCTTCTCCCTGACTTCTCCCTCACAAAGCTCGGCGAGCGCCACACTGGCACCATACCCCATCGGGGGAAGCCCTGGCAGGATCTGATCAAGGGTCAGCCGCTGGGCTTTCTCGACCACTTCCCCATGGTATGAGACCCGAACGTCCCCCAGCTTCTTTCCCCACTCTCCCATTTCGGGTGACCTGGGTACTTTGCTGGTTGACTCCGAGTTGTCATCCACGAAGACTTTCACCAACTCCCAGATCCTATCCAACGCTTGGCTCTGAGCTTTGCCAGGGGGCCCAGCTGCTACCTCTCCTTTTCCTCCACCTCCAGTCCAAAGAAAGTTCAGGACCGTCACTGTCAGCCCATGCCACACCAGCAGCCCAACTTTCCGACTGAGCCTCCCAGCTTTGTCTTTGTTCGTTTTCTTTTCAGCCCAGCTACCTGCCAGCCTTCTGAACTCACCCTCTTCCTGCAATTTCTTAAGCTCAGTCACAGAGTCATCCCAGAGTGGCAGGGGTAGAAGGCTCCGTTGCCTCCTGTTCCTTTGGCCACTTGAAGACCCCGGCACTAGGGGTCGACTCAAATAGCTTCCAAGGGGTGTTCCGCTTCTAAAGGCCGCCACAGCCAGCAAGGCCCCGCACTGGGAGATGCTCAGCCCTCCACACTCTTCCGACTGGAGCCAACTCTTGAGCACTCCAAGCAAGTGCTCCCCTCCTTCCTCTACTTGAGTGGACTGGAGGGACTCTTGTTCCCAGTCGGTCTCGGCGTCGGGCTCCTCGTTCTGTCCGTCTTCTGCTTTGGGCCCTTTCCTCTTCCTTGCCCCTTCTGATTCGGACCTTTTCCTTCCTGGTGTCCTTTCTGCTTCCATGGTCTCAGGGGCTTCCCTCTCCTCAACCATCCTTTTGTTTCTCCTTTTCCTCCTCCTTTTTCTTGTATGGTCCGAGGGTTCTCGTTGATGGTCACCCTCCTTGTCTCTCCTCCTCCTTCTGGACCTGCTTCGTCTCGAGGGGGTGTTGTCACGGCACTCTTCTTTTCCCGAATGCCGCCGCCGAGTCCCTATTTGGGAGACTTGTTCTTCTGAACCATCTCCTTCAGCTTGCTGGCACTCAGTTCCAGCTTTGCTGCTCTCCTCCTCTCCGCTTCCGATGTCAGGGAGGCGGCCATCGGTGGGATCAGCTCCTGATGTTTTGCTGTGTGCCATCCTTGCTCGGTGAAGCTCGTCTCGAGCGCCTTCAACCGCTGGGAGAGTAGATCCCCCAGCTCCGGGAGCCGACCTTGGAGTAGTAAGTCCACCCCCGTCCCAATCGTTATGAGCTCCCTGTAGTTGCGGATCCCTATCACCGCGGGAGGGTGCTGCACTAGCACCACCTGATTGATGTACGCCATGACTCGGCGACTTGCCCAATCTTCCTCCTCCGGGCCCTCGGTGCTCCTCTCTGCCAAGTATCGGGTTAACTCCCGCATCGTCTCCTTCAGTAGCTTCCCGGGGTGTTTTTGAGACAGCCGCCAAAGCTCTTCCTCCCCCCGGGAAGAGGGCTTTTGAAAACCCTGCGACGTCTCACTGGTCCCGGACCCCTCACTGCGGCTTCTACCTTTTGAGGGACTCCGGTCTTTGTCTCGTCTGCGGCCTCTGCTTCTGCTCCTCCGACGTGTCCTCCTATTCTTTCTCTCCTTGTCCTTTTCACGTTGGAAGTCACGGGCTTCAGCTGCCCTGCGTTGCAACAAGGCCCCAACAGACCCTCTTGGAGTCCCCTCCTTGCGCTGACCCTTCACCTTGTCTTCGCCCTCTTCTAAAGGTCGGTCATCTCTGGTCAGCTCTTTGAGGGCCTCAGCTGCCGCTTTATCCAAACCTGTCTGCCCACCGCCCCCTGCCCCACCAGAGAGCCTGGGAGCAGGAGGCAGGTCTGGCTCCGGCACCGCGACTGCAGGTGTAAAGTTTTCCACCCACCATCATCAGCACCGGGCTCATCAGCCGCCACTTCTCCAGGTGCACCAGCTCTCGCCGATCTTGTCTCCCCAGCCTGACGACACAACCGCGTCTCTCATCACCACATATATGGTACACACCTTTCCCATCATTCAGGCGGTCCTGGGCATAGTACTCATAGTACTCATCCGATGCCACAAGGTGCACAGCCAGGAAAAGGCCTCGGGCCATATCTTCCCATTCCACCAATTCAATGATGGCTCGGCCTTGACTTCGTCCTCTGTCATCATAGCATTCATACTCCACATACCCTCCTTTGATCATCATCGATCGGGCATGCTCGAGGACATCTCCGGGGTACACCTTTGCGTCCGTCCACATGATGTCTCCTCCTTGAAGGCCAACCGATAGCGCCTGATGCCAATCACTCATTGTTCCACCTTTTCTCAGGAGCTTCCTCTTTTCCTCCTCCATTGCCTCAGGGACCTCGGGCTCAAGCCCAAAAGGGTTAGAGGCTCAGACCTCCCTCCCTAAAGAGGCTTTCAAAGAACCCCTGTTTCGGGTCCTACGTGAACCTACCCCAAACGGGGGCCTGGTCCACCTTGAGAAAACCGATCAGGCCTACCCCACGGAGGGGTCTGGCCTCTAAACCTTCCCTCCCTGGTCAGCCTCCCCCACAACGAGGTCTGGCTGCCCAGGAAGGGATACCACAAACCGTTGTCCCAGGCCACTCCCCTGCTCTCACCTCACAAAGAGGCCCAGAGCTGAGGGTGGCCCAAAACTTGAGCTTGAAACTCCGGTCATCCAGGCTTCATGTATGCAACCCCTGTCGGAGAACACATATATATGTATATATATATATAGATATGTTGTATTAACTTATATACTTCATGAAGCTTCATGATAGCTTCATTGGAAAATGGAAGGTCATTTGTTTGGATTCAATTGGGTAGTAAAGCTCCTCATATTCACTTCATTTATGCACCTTTGCACATTCGTGCCTCTGCCAAGCAGCAAATCGTCGCAAGAGGTACTCATCTGACTGTCGAAAGAGCGGGCTCTTGCCTCATGTCATGGTGCAAGATCAACCGCAATCACTCCAAATAAAGGAGCTCTGCCACAGGAAAGCCACTGGTTTTCGAGGTCCAAAAATCTTGACCCACATGTCCCATGCCATATGGCAGTGTGTCAAAACCTTGTACCCCTGGTGAACATCAAAATAGCTGGTAAATGGATGTTCATTCCCCTAAAAATGGTATTAATAGGTATTGATCCATACCCATATGTCAAATATCCATAAATATCCCATCATATCCCATCCATCCAAGAAATATCCCCTGGCAGCTCAGTGGCACCACATGATGAGGCTCATCCTCCTCCCCGAGGAGATCGGCAAGGCCCCGTGGCGACGCTTCCCCAGGTGCATCACACAACGGCCCTGCTGGTGCTTGTAGCTGTGGAGGTGCTTACCTCCGAAGTTGGGCAGCTGGGACCCAGCTTTCCCCCAGTGAAAACATCAGATCATTTTTTTTTGATCCATCATTGATGCTCCAAATGTTGTATCTGATAAGTGGGCTGAATCCCATATAGCCACCAGTTAGTCGTATCATCCAACTTTAGTGGCCACCAAGCATAGCTAGACATAGCTGCGCAGTTGGTCCACCAGGCCCCCACATGGCCACCAAGCATCGATGCGACACAGAGCCCAGCATTCCGCAGAAGACCAAGTCGTTGCCCTCGAAGCTGTCAGCTGGCGTCAACGCGAAGTTGAAGGTCACGTCACATTCGTCCACGTGCATATCCAAGGATTGATCTTCATCTGGTTGGTATCTGCCAGCTGACAGGATAAAACTGATAAAACTGATAAAACTGCTCATCAAAGGCATTGAAGAACAGCAGCTTGGGTGGTACTTGGAGGTGAATCCTAGTAGCTTAGTTAGGTAAGTGGTGAGCCGCCAAGATTCACGAAAATTCCCCGCCTCACCACAAAGGTGTGATGTGCAGAAAGGCTATCGCCGCCCCAGTTCCTCGGGCTGTTCGAGGCAAGGAGAAGGCAGAGTTCAACCACGACGAAGCAAAGAAAAAAAGCAGAGACCACCAAAAAAAGAGATATACGCTATACGAACAAGGATATTTGATCCCTTGTGGTTGAATTGAGGCCAGTTCACTGGATTGTTGGTGTTTTTTGTTGGCTTCCTCGTTGTTTGGGAATTTTACCATCAGCAACACATATCATTTCTGGGGTGTGAAAAGGAAACACCCAAATCCTGGCAGCCTGGCATGTTTTACTGGAAATTCCTGAGCATATCCAGGTCTGAAGTGCCCAATTCCTCTGTCATTCCCCAAACCAATACTGGCTGGTTGATAATGTTATTAATCAATGTTAATCATATAACTATAATATATATATATATATGTACATTGATGATGACAATAATGGATGATAAAATGGAGTTCATCTGGGATCAGTCCATCCTTCCATTTGTTTGTCAACCAGCTGGAAATTCAGACATTACTCATCTGGATTCATTTTGATTAAATACTCCTCCTATCGCCCACACAGACCGTCGATTAATGAATAAATATATATATACATAATAATATACGCTCTCATACCTTTGCCAACAAAAGTAGGATTTAAAAAATGCATCACGGGAATCAAGAATCAAGAATCTATTGATTGATATAGACAAAAATAATCATGAACATAAACAAAAAGAACCATCTCCAAAGCAAAGTCTGCGGTTCTCACCACCAAGATCCTTCGCCGGCAACGAGCTGTCGCGCATGTCCTCTGGACCGAAGAGTCGCGCGGCGATACCCTGGAGATAGTCCTGGCCATGGCCCAACGAACAGCTAAAGTGGGGTAAATTGGGTGAAAATGGTAGAAACAAATGGAAAAAAAGTCAGAAAAAATGGTTGAAACATATATCAACATGGTTGAAACAGATCTGTTTTGAACAGCTAAAAAATCCATGCTAAATGTCTGGGACCAAATATTTGGCCGACTGACACCTTGTGAATCCCTGGTATTTTTTGGGTGGGACCATTGTGGAAACCAGATGTTGCAAAGATCTGCAGATTGCAGATTCTCCATGTTCAATGTTTTCTGATCCAGAGTTTGGAGAAAAATCCCAAACTCGAGGTTCTGCAGTGCCAGTAAATCTAGATCTACCTTTCTTGAAGGGAATATCACCTGACACAGTGAATGCTTCCCCTGCACATTTTCTGAAGGTCTTGATCTAAGAGTACTTGTGAGTACCTCAGGTTTGTCATGGGCCAACTTGCTTCTGCCATGGATCTGGGATCATTTCAGTTTGTACGGGGCCCTTGCACAACACAGCAATTCGCTCACGACGGAGTCACGTTGCTCCCTTCTTTTTCCAAACGCGTAGCGCCGCGCTATGGTTTTTTGGCGTCAACTGTCTGCAAGCGCCAGTGGCTTCCAATGGCACAAGTTCATCAGGGTCATTGGCCAAACATGCAGTCTCGCCACTTACCACATCGGTTGGGCGAAATCTGCACGAAACCCAGCATATCATTGTTATTTGTATATTTCTACGGATAAGAAATGCACCATTCACTTTACTTTGGTGGTGTATTTGGCTTGCCATTCGCTCAGGGCCCGCCGCATGGAAGAGTTCAACTTCACCACTTTCCGCTTCTGTTTGATCGCCGCAAAGGCCTCTTCCCAGGTCGGAAATCGCCCCGCACGGACCAGACAAGCACAGAGGGTGGTGGTGGAGCGGCCACGGCCGTGGGCACAATGAACCAAGACATCGCCCCTCTCATGTGCTGCGATGCCAAATTGAGCAGCCTCCTCCAACTGATCAGGCGTTGGAGGCACTCCATCCCAACATTCAATCAACAAATATTTCTCCTGGGTGCTGGTTTCTGGAAACTCACAGGTCAAATCGATGGTCCCAGCCCATCTTCGGCCCAACTCATGGCTATATCGGCCACCCACCCACCATCCAGGTTCCACTTCATCTGCTGGAGCAACACCGGTTTTTCGGTCCCGCTCCCGTTGCAGCTTGGTATACACCAGGGTGGGGCAGTGGAAGCCGAAGAACAAGACATAGGACCAGATGGGAATGGCGCCTGACGCCGCGTCCTTCCCAAGCAGACCCATGCCCAGTTTCAGGTTGAAGAGCACGGCAATCACCAAGTTTATCACACTCACATTGTACAAGTAGAGGCCAATCAGAAGCTGCAGATTGTCCAATCCTTGCAAGTCACCATCAGCGAAAAGCAGTTGATCAATGTCCATGGGCATCACCCATCTGGCTGCAAAGGCAGAGACGCCAGCAAAGGCAACATACTTCAAAGACACGCCATGAACCGCTCCCATTGTGGTGCAAAGTTGCAGATGTACAATGTAGATGCTACAAGCTCTAAAGCAGAAGCAAATATGCTGAGTCTTGACTTTATAGTGTGAGCACTGGGTGCAAACAGACTATAAGAGGTTATGAAATGTAAGCAATCAATAAACGACTGGTCACAAAGCCTGAACCAAACCGCCTTCATGAGCCAGTTCCATGATTGCAAATCTGAGCCTGGGGATCTCGAAGAGAAAGGATGAAGCATCCCAATATGGAGGTTTCCTAAGCCATGGGAGTACCCCCAACATCATCCGAAAGTGCTTATTTTCAATGGGAAAACCAATGGGTTTGGGGCTGCCATACTTTAGGAAACCTCCATATTCTACAAGGCATCTGGTTTGTCTGAAAATCCCCATTTGGTTTACCATCATGTCCCCATTAAAATGATCAGTCAGTTGGTACCCTATTTTCAAAGAACCCCATGCCGCCCATGCCTATCCAATCCATGGCCCCCATCTGCCCAACATGGCCCAACATGTTAAACCACCAGGAGCTTCGCCAGGCCTGTAGCATGGCCGAGAAGACAGGCTTCAAACCAATTTCGTGCAAGACCAGGCCATAGTTGTTCCTGCTGGATCTTCTGCCAGGTCTGTGTCAACTTATCCAACTGTGGGATATGAATGGAAAATTGCTGGGATATTATTGGTATTAATCAAAAATGAGTGGGATAGTGGGATAATCGGATAATAATAATATATATATATATTATGTCATCGACTTTCCAAGCAGGATCTGAAAAATCCACGGCTTGTCTAGCTGAAAAACAGTTGTGGTTCACTCAATCTGCACATCTGGAGTCAAATTTGATTCAGCACTGGCAGCCAGGATGCATACTATTTGGCGGCCGCTGCGGAAAGCCACCAGCCTTACCATTGGCAATGCTGCGGAGAGGGGTAAGGATTTCGGGAAACCCCGGGCCTTTCCAGGTCCCCAGATGGTGCAGATGGTGCCTGGTAATTCAGAATCTCCTCCACGAGCAAGTTGCAAAACTCCAAGGTGAGGCATTGGAAGGAGATCACTCCTACAGCCCAGCCGGAAGATCTTCTCAAGATCCCCAAAGAACTTCGACAAAGCAGTCTCGCTCGCCAATGTTCCCTTGCAAAAGCAACTATCAACTGGTCGATGATTATATATATATATACATATATACATATCATTATCTATCTATCTATCTATCTATCTATCTATCTATCTAATCTAATCTAATCTAATCTAATCTATCTAACCTATCTAACCTATCTAATCTATCTAATCTATCTAATCTATCTAATCTATCTAATCTATCCAATCTATCCATCCATCCATCCATCCATCCAATCTATCCAATCTATCCAATCTATCCAATCTATCCAATCTATCCAATCTATCCTATCTATCCTATCTATCCTATCTATCCTATCTATCCTATCTATCCTATCTATCCTATCTATCCTATCTATCCTATCCATCCTATCTATCCTATCCATCCTATCTATCCTATATATCCTATCTATCCTATCTATCCTATCTATCCTATCTATCCTATCTATCCTATCTATCCTATCTATCCTATCTATCCTGTCTATCCTATCTATCCTATTTCTCCTATCTGTCCTATCTGTCCTATCTATCCTATCTGTCCTATCTGTCCTATCTATCCTATCTATCCTATCTATCCTATCTATCCATCCATCCATCCATCCATCTATCTATCTATGTATCTATCTATCTTATCTGTCTTATCCATCTTATCCATCTTATCCATCTTATCTATCTTATCTATCTTATCTATCTTAGCTGTCTTATCTATCTTATCTATCTATCTATTTTTTTCTATCTATCTAATCTAAACTAATCTAATCTAATCTAATCTAATATAATCTATCTAACCTATCTAATCTGTCTACTCTGACTGCTCTATCAACTCTACTCTATCTACTCTATCTAATCGCTCTATCTATCTATCTGTTTATCTATCTATCTATCTATCTATCTATCTATCTATCCTATCCTATTCTATTCTATCTATCTATCTATATATATATATCTATCTATCTATCTATCTATCTATCCATCTATCTATATTATATATATATATATATCTGTCTATCTTTCCTATCTATCTATGTTTCCTATTTGTCTATATTTCCTATCTATCTATCTTTCCTATCTATCTATCTATCTGTCTGTCTGTCTGTCTGTCTGTCTGTCCATCCATCCATCCATCCATCCATCTATCCATCTACTGGTATCTATCTGTATGTAATGGATTAGCTCTCAAGCCATTCTTTGAACACAACCAACACAACCCAAAAAAACAACTCCAGGCTAAATTCCCTCCCAGTCACAACCACTTAAGGATAAAAAAACATCTCATATTCTAACACAATGTATCCACAGACCGACCGCATATGGGAAGGTGTGGAAAAAGAAAGAGCTGCCCCTGACACGTGTGGTGCCGATCCGCCTAGCTGAGTAAATGCAGCTTCGTAAAAAACATCTAAACAAAAAAAAAACAGCAGCCGTCGCTCCTGTAGTTTCCACTTTAATCCCAGGCAGCTGGTTCAGTTTCAGCATCTTCACATCCCCGCTGGCGCGCCAGGCTCCAGTGGCCCGCAGGAAGCCAGGCAGGAACCAGCGGCTGAGCTGAGATGGGTCGAACAAGGCCTGGGACTGCTGGGACTGCTGAGGTCACCCTGAGATTCGACCAGTTCGAAAGAAAGTTTGACCATTTGGGGAATCATTTATGAAGAAAAAACACGCAAAAAAGGCTGCATTGGGCTTCGCACGTTGATCAAAATGGCAGTACTCTTACTGATTTGAGGATCTGCAATTCTAGCACACCCAAAACATTCAAGAAATAATCAGTTGATACCCTGCCTTGTGCTTTGCTTCTTTGGCATACTCAAAACCTGAGCAAGACCCGCAGGATCAATGTCTACAAGGATTCCACGGCAAGAAGTGTCCGGTCTGAAATTCAGGAAAGAAACCTCTCTCTCGCAGTTCCCGTGCTTGTTTCAAATGCCAGGGTTCCGCTGGTTGCTGCCCTGCTGCTACGATCAGCTCGGGAATATCCTGAAAGCAGAGGTCACTACCACCGTGGGTTGAATCATAAAAGGTAATGGGGAAAAAAACAACATGTTCTGGTTGATGCGGTTGATGCAAGCTACCATCACACTGGGATAGTCTCAAAAATTGGAAGCCCCTTCCATTCCCAGTAAGACCTATCACCTCCCCAGGAAACTACCAGCCTTCGGAGCCAAGACCTCCTGGCCACTGGCGTCCAGCTCAACAAGGTATGGCACCCGCCCAGAGTCCTGCCAGTTGGGTGTTTTCCATTGTTTTTTCCCCACGAAAATTGGAGGGTTCCCCTTCTTTCTTGATGAAAAATCACTGGGCCAATGTGAGCTACCCCAATTTTCATGGATGTTCTGAACATCTTTACTTTCTATGCACCTTCAGAATATCCTAAAGATAGAAAATCTTGCCCAACATCGATCCAGATTTTTGGGGTTCTTGCAGATTGCAGATTTTCACCAGTGCCGGGTCCTTGTCGCCATCGAAATCCAGTTGAACCACTGTGCCTGAATTTGAAAGATTTGTCAAAAGAAACTCTCCAGCATATCATCCGCCAGGATACCAACAACATCCAACAACAAATGTGCCAAGAAAAAAGACCGATGTCATAGATTGTCATAGGATTTTGAAGACTTGAATTGCACTTCTATGGAATATTGGAAGCTATCTTTGCATGAACCCAATCGCTGGCAGTTGACCTTCAAGCCATCCGTGCGCCGTGAAACACGCAACACGGTCTCCAAGTTTGAATCGCTTCGAATCTGCCGCCATGGATGACCAAGTCACCAACGGCAGCCATGCAAAAATGGCCTAATCAATGCTTGACAATGCAGAAAAGTAGCTAAAAAACATGATCATAGCGGTTGAGAACAATTGCCGGTTGGATAGTGAGTGTGAGTTCTTGGAGATCTGTTGATAAATTCTATTCCTTACTGGCATCGTTCATATTCCATCGGTAAACCTAACCTTTCTCTGCTTCCTTGTGCCAAATATCTTGCCTCGAACAGTCGTCCTAAAAGCTTAAGCAAGAAAGCTGGCAGGCAGAGCCATGGGGCCATGAGTGAATTGGCTACCATGGCTGGAGACAAGGTGAATATCATCTGAAGCAACATTCTAATTTTTCCATGAAGAAGTATAAGTGCCTGAGCTAACCGTGAATTACAGCCGACAGTGAATACCCTCCGGTGTCATCAAACATAGCGTGCGCCGTGCTGGAAAATATCCACCATTTACTTCGATGAATCCAAACGAAACCTCCCATTGACATACTGCGGTTGGATTTTCCAGCTTGCTATGTTTGATGACACCGTTGCGGGTAATTCCCGTTAAATCAAAAAAAAACACTAAATCATTATTAATCCCATTGATCATTATTGATCAATATTAATCATTATCAATCATTATTAATCATGATTAATCATTATTAATCATTATTAATCGTTATTAATCATTATTAATCATTATTAATGGGAATTGATCCCTATTAATAATAGGGAACATGAATTATCAATGGGATGAAAATCATGATCAATAGGGATTAACTAAGTTCCCTATTGATCATTATTAATCCCATTGATAATGTCCAAATCTGGCCACCAGAACTCCTCACTGGTGGGGTCGATCACGAACTTGCCGAAGCGGGGATAGCGTGGTGGCTGTGGCAGAGCCTACGGCCAAGGCGGAATCCATGGCCAAGAACTGGTTGGGTGCATTTGGGTGTCTCTGAAAATAGGGAGAGACCTCCAAATCACTAATTCAGTGGTTTTTTTAAAATCTTTCTTATACATCTTATGCCTGGTTGATTTTGGAAGTGCGTACCCTATTTTCCGACCGATTTGGGAGCAGAGATTTTCGGTTCTCCTTTCTTTGCGTTCCGCGGATGACTGAGGCCCTGACGACACAGATCTCGCCAATTCCAGCCTCAGCTGCCAGTTCTCCTTCTACCATGGGCCTACCAAAACACCCCCCCTGGGCTTCCCAAACAGACTTCAGAACTTCTGCCTTTCGCGCAAAAGCTTCCTGGCATTGCTTCAATGCCTCAGGCGATGCCAAAGGCGCTGTGGTTCCAATGGTTCCAAGGCTCGGTCTGAAATTTGGACCCATCCAATGGCAGGGAGCCCCCCGCCTTCTTCAACTCCTCATCGCTGTTGTAGAAGAGCGTCCGGTCCTCTTTGGAGAATATGGCAGAAGGGGTGCATCAATGCATCCACACATAGAATGAAACTATTTCAATGGTGCCATGGTGCCAGAAAAAGAATCCACATATTTTGGTTACTTACATTTTCCCCGACTAAGCCACTGATCCTTGGGGGGTACAGTACCGTATATATATATATATACATCATATATCATGTTATCAGATATTATCTCCCGATTCTGCGAACGTCTTCAAAACTTGCCCAGTCCGTGACGGAGGCGAAGGCATCGCGACCCACCAGGATGTGGAGAAAGTTCAGCGGAACGGTTCCCTTTTCTCCTGGCCGAAAATTTTGACCAAAGCCGGGTGCCCGGAAATTCTCCAAGATCTGATGGTGAAGAAATGGATCTTGGACGTGTCTGAAAGCTTTGGCCAATTAAACACCCAGTTCAACTTCAGCAAAGAATGGATCTCGTCCATAGACCGTTCAAGAATCATCCAGCTAGGTGATGCGGTTTGAATGCCGATCCTTTCAACCGAAAACATATGTCAAGAAAAAACATATCTGCATACATGAACGAGTAGCTATCTAACATTGATCAACAATTCTATATATTAGAGTGTGTCCAAAAATTGTGGTGTGTCTACCCCCAAGTGGCAGTTTTTAGATGGAATTTACGAGGTATAATTACCCTATTAAAACATAGTAAAACCACAATTGTCCAATAAAACGACGGATAAACCCATGGATTTTAAGGGTATAATTACCTTATAATCACCAGACAACCGTCACCACAAAGGGCCGGGCCTTGGAGCTTCACCAAGGGACCTGCCGTACCGCTGAGCCATGGAGGTTTTGGACATGGTTTCGTTGGGAAAATCATCCACTTAAATGGTGTGTATAAATGAATATATATATATATATATATAAATGGTTTGTAGCTGGGAAAATCATTGAACTAAATTTACTGAATGGATCTAAATCCGATCTAAATGAGCAATCTCGAAAACCCTAGGTTCACGGAAAGGACATCCACAAATTTGGGAAGGTCCCATCGCTTACCACACGTTTGTACAATAATGATCGATATATTGTAAACTTGGGGGGTATCGCTTGCAGGAAACTGTTACATTTATATATATATAAATATAATTCACAGAAATCCACGTCCAATTTGGGTATCGCTAATGTGGATATTAGAGAAATACAACGACATACCCTTGAAAAGGGGTATCGCTAATTTGGGAAGGTCCCATCGCTTACCGTGTGTTTTTAACAATTTCCATCAATTTCCATAAACCAATGTCCGTCCAATACATATTTAGTATTCCCGGGGATTTTGCGGTGGCTCAAATGGGGGGGATGTCCATTGCGATGTTTGATGATCGGAGGGTAGCATGGAAACGATCATAGACCACTTTCGGCAATTGGCAAGGTCTTCAAGTCTTTTACATATGGGTTCCTCGGAAAAACTTAATTACCCCCAAATCCCGTCATGTTCCCCGATTGCCATTGCTTTTTTTGGGTACCGTACCCCTATTTTCATCCAATAGCTCCATTTAAAAAAAATAAATAAAACCTCTTGTTCTGAACTCCGTAAAAGGCTATGAACCCAAGATATTCCAAGATTTTATGGCTACATGTCCCCATTGAAAACCAGCCTGTCCGCCCCCAGCTGAAGTCATGCTGAAGCCGCACCTAGCACCGCTTGGTCCAGGACGCTGTCCAGTTGCTGCACCGAAGGTATGACGATGATTTGACCGTGGCGGTTGTGTTCCTGACCCGAGGCTTGGCAAATGTGCCATGGAAAAGTGAGTTACGTGGCTCTTTTTGGTATGTAACCAACAATCATGGGGATATTCCATTGAATTTTGTTGAAAACAAGTTCCATGGGATTTAACCAACATGTTTCTTTAATGAGGTAATATAACCAACAATAGTAGGGGGTAAGATAGTACATAACGGCGACAATAGTTGGTATGTGCCATGCTTATGGGAATTCACCAACAATAGGGGCATATTCAATGGGATATATCATGGGATATAATTATATTTAAAAAAAACTAGATATATTTATATGGGATGTGGTCATCCCACCATCATGCATGGGATTCTGCAGAGATTCCTCACTATAGGTAGATATCTTTTTTTGATTTGATGACTATGCCCAAATATGGGTTACATAATATATATATATAATATATTATGTTATTTATATATTATATATAATTGTATTATATATATGGGTGTATAATCCAGAAAGCTCAGTCATGATTTGACAGGGAGTAGATAAAGAGGTAAAGTGACCAATTTCCCTCGTGTGACTGTCATGTGCCTATGTTGGGTCGGAGCAATCCTGCTTGAAAGGGCTGTCTTGTGGAAACACCATCGTTTTTGTCCAGGATCCGTAACAGCGCACCCAGTATCCGAACTGCCTATATCAACTGCTGGCGCCTCCTGCTTCTTGTCCACTGGGAAGTACTGCGTCCACAACGCTGATGTGCTGACGGGTGCCTTTGCCTGTGCAGCTGTTGCGGGCTTTGGGAACTGAACTGAAGATATTGGGGCTCTTGGAAACCTTCAATGGTAAATCTCCAAGAGAAAATTGTCAATTCGTCCTTCGTTTGGGGAATGCTCAACTCTTACCCACCCAGACCTCTCGCACAATCTCAACAAGCACGGTGGCAACTGGCAACTGGCACAGCTACGACTTAGAAACATGAGTGGCTCTAAAGGAAAGGATAGTGGGTGTCCATGTGCACCACCATGCCCCCACATGCCTCCAGCATTTCCAGTTTGCGAATTCCTCAGCGCTGAAGGTCTCGAGACTTTGTGGAAAAGGATAGACGATATGATATGCAATGGGAGTGTCCAGAAATTCGAGATTACAGATTGGTCTCTTAACAAAAAGAACACATCAAAATCATCAAATGAAGGATTTGAAGACCGTTCGATTTTTTGTACAAGCTCCTAGAAGTGCCTCTAAAGGCCAGCATACGCTTGTCCTTTACAAGAAGCAGGCTACAAGTTCTGTGCCTCAGGTGGTCTCTGGGCCGGGGCCCGAACGGCTGGGAGCAGCCATCCAGTAGAGGTATGCGTGCATGGCCCTCTTCTGGATCCTGAGCTCAGCAGTAAAGGTGGTAAACGAATCCTCACCTTGTCGGCCTTGTCGTGGCTGTTTCTGAGTGACTGAATGTCCACAGTTGAAGACTGCCCAACCAAAGCTCCAAATATGTGTTCATCATGGTCATCATCATGGTCATGGTCATCATCATGGTCATGGTCATGGTCATGGTCATGGTCATGGTCATCATCATCATCATCATCATCATCATCATCATCCTCATCCTCATCCTCATCGTCACCGGTTCTGTCATGGTAGGTCCCTGGCATGGCATTGGAATCATTGAGGGCCTCCACCAACAACTCCACTTCCTTGGCGGAACTCAGCCCACAACTACCGCCGGCTGTGGCTTCAGTTAGTAAAAAATGCTGTGCCGCCCAGTCGCCAAACTGCCGTCCATGGTCCCGGGAAGCTCCTTCCCAGTGGCTGTTTGGATCCCAACGAAACTGGTGAAACTCGGTGAAAACCCTCCCAGCAACGTCTTTGTCTCCTGGGAGGTTGCGAAATCCAGGGTCTTCTCATCCAACTTTTCCAACTGCTCTCGGAATGCCTTCACCTTGGAGTAGCAGCCATCATGCTAACCATCATCAACCCTGTCATAAACATTCATAAACCATCATAAACCTAGCATGACTATGGTTGGGATCCCATCAATGGTGATGACTTGGGGATGGCCACCATGGCCATCATGGCCACCATGGCCCAGCATGGCCCACCGCTGAGTTCCTGCACCCGCTCTTCGAAGGACTCCTGGGGCACCACATCCAGTAGCTGTTGCCTTTGCTGGATGTCCCCAGCTGATTTTTTCCCATTTCTTGGGCAAACGTCAATTGATATGCAAAAACATGACTCACTTGGTTTGAGGATGTTTGGTAGAATTGCATTTTTCCATGGATGTTGGGAGTAAAATCCCGACTTTTCTAGGGTTTTGAGGAAAAATCCAGATTTTCTCAGATCTTTGCCGCGACCCTTGGGTTCCCAAACGCCAGGTAGCGCACATTGCCGTAGTCGCCGGCAGCACCAGAGTTGCTTGGCAACTGCGAGAGTTCCATAATCTTCGCTTGGACCTGCGGGACGGGCTGAGCCCGGACTCGTTGAAGACAGTTCTATAGTGAATAATAGTTGTCATAATAGTTATAATAACGGTTATCATAATAGTGAATAAAATCCTCATAGTCATAGTTGCGAGTCATAATGGTTCATAATGGTTCATAATGGTTCATAATGGTTCGTAATAGTTAATGGTAATAACAGCTAATAACAGCGAATAATGGTTAATAAATAGTTAATAATAGTGAATATTAGTTCATAACAGCTAATAATTATTAGTAGCTGATAATGGTTAATAAAAATTAATAGTAGTCAATAGGAAGTCAATAATAGTTTCAAAAAATTGAAAAACAATTGATATTACTAACAGTTGATAATAGACATCTAAAAGTAATTCTCACTAGACATAGTGGGTTTTTGAAGGATAGCTATAACTAGGACAACCATTGTAATGGATATCAAAATGATAATTATCATTGAAGTTATGGATAATGTTTAGTTGTATAGCCATAATTCTGGTACAATGATATTAAAAATCAGGATAACTTGATAGCCGTGATAACTATCCATTATTTCCATATATCTAAATAGCCGCAATAGCTTTTGTTCATTAACCATGGTTATGCTTGAAATGGTTGATGATGGATGTAATGGATCGTTGATGATGGATCATGAAGGCTGAATTAAATTTGGTCTTAACTTGGATCTTAGATCTGTGGATAATCATGAATTAACCCAGTCAATACTGGATCATGAATGGTAATGATAATAGATATAAAAGAAACGATAGTGAGATTATGGTAATTGTTAATTATTGTTATCTGACAATTGTCACATTGAATTGTGGATTGTGGATAATAATGCATATAATTATATATGACAACAAATAATCCGCCGACCCCGGCTGCGCAAGGGGGAGCGCGTTAGGGAATAAGACAGCAGCACCCAGCCAGTAGCCAGCAGTCAATATCCGCCGACCCCGGCAGACGCAAGGGGGAGCGTGCCAGGGAATAATACTTTTGACTCTTGTTTCGGACTACTACTACTACTACTACTCCTACTACTACTACTACTACTACTACTACTACTGCCATGGTGTTTTCCCATCCGGCAGGTGCCTTTTGAACAGAAGGAGTCACAGGAGCAGGAGCAGCAGCAGCAGCAGGAGGAAATAGAAGGTGTTTGACAAGACGGTTATCATCACAAAGGCAATTCTTTTTTTTCTAGGATTTCAGAAGGGACGTTAGGCACTTTTTGGGCTCGATTTTGGAGCGTTTTGGGCACGAAATTAGGTGGCGTTTCAGCGTTTCAAGTGGTGGCCATGAGCAGCAGCAGCAACAGGAGCAACAGGAGGGTTCTATGTCTCATTGCACAAACAGTGGTATAAACATTGGTCGAAAACTATAAACATTGGTATATTATTGTGATTGATTTTGCGTCATGTTCGGCACGAAATTAGGTGTCTGGCTGCTGGTTTCTTACTTTATTAGAGGCAGTAGCAGCAATCAAAATTAGAGATCAAATTGGACAAAATTAGATTTCTATTGGACAAAGTTGGATTTCTAGTAGGATTTCAGAAGGGACGTTTCGGCCCCCGAAAACCTATTCTTGTGATTGATTTTGCGTCATGTTCGGCAGGAAATTAGGTGGTGTTTTGCTGTTTCGGCTGTGTTTTAAAAAAGGTGTCTGGCTGCTGGTTTCTTGCTTTATTATAGGCAGCAGCAGCAGTCAAAATTAGAGATCAAAATTGGACAAAATTGGATTTCTAGTAGGAGTTCAGAAGGGACGTTTCGGCCCCCGAAAACCTAATATTGTGATTGATTTTCCGTCATGTTCGGCACGAAATTGGGTGGTGTTTTGCTGTTTCGGCTGTGTTTTAAAAAAGGTGTCTGGCTGCTGGTTTCTTGCTTTATTAGAGGTAGCAGCAGCAATCAAAATTAGCGATCAATCAAATTTGACTAAAATTAGATTTCTATTGGACAAAATTGGATTTCTAGTAGGATTTCAGAAGGGACGTTTCGGCCCCCGAAAACCTATTATTGTGATTGATTTTGCGTTATGTTCGGCACGAAATTGGGTGGTGTTTTGCTGTTTCGGTTGTGTTTTACAAAAGGTGTCTGGCTGCTGGTTTCTTGCTTTATTATAGGTAGCAGCAGCAGTCAAAATTAGAGATCAAAATTGGACAAAATTGGATTTCTAGTAGGATTTCAGAAGGGACGTTTCGGCCCCCGAAAACTTAATATTGTGATTGATTTTCCGTCATGTTCGGCACGAAATTGGGTCGTGTTTTGCTGTTTCGGCTGTGTTTTAAAAAAGGTGTCTGGCTGCTGGTTTCTCGCTTTATTAGAGGCAGCAGCAGCAATCAAAATTAGAGATCAAATTTGACTAAAATTAGATTTCTATTGGACAAAATTGGATTTCTAGTGGGATTTCAGAAGGGACGTTTCGGCCCCCGAAAACCTATTATTGTGATTGATTTTGCGTTATGTTCGTCACGAAATTAGGTGGTGTTTTGCTGTTTCGGCTGTGTTTTAAAAAAGGTGTCTGGCTGCTGGTTTCTTGCTTTATTATAGGTAGCAGCAGCAGTCAAAATTAGAGATCAAAATTGGACAAACTTGGATTTCTAGTAGGATTTCAGAAGGGACGTTTCGGCCCCCGAAAACTTAATATTGTGATTGATTTTCCGTCATGTTCGGCACGAAATTGGGTGGTGTTTTGCTGTTTCGGCTGTGTTTTAAAAAAGGTGTCTGGCTGCTGGTTTCACGCTTTATTAGAGGCAGCAGCAGCAATCAAAATTAGAGATCAAATTTGATTAAAATTAGATTTCTATTGGACAAAATTGGATTTCTAGTAGGAGTTCAGAAGGGACGTTTCGGCCCCCGAAAACCTAATATTGTGATTGATTTTCCGTCATGTTCGGCACGAAATTGGGTGGTGTTTTGCTGTTCCGGCTGTGTTTTAAAAAAGGTGTCTGGCTGCTGGTTTCTTGCTTTATTAGAGGCAGCAGCAGCAATCAAAATTAGAGATCAATCAAATTTGACTAAAATTAGATTTCTATTGGACAAAATTGGATTTCTAGTAGGATTTCAGAAGGGACGTTTCGGCCCCCGAAAACCTATTATTGTGATTGATTTTGCGTTATGTTCGGCACGAAATTAGTGGTGTTTTGCTGTTTCGGCTGTGTTTTACAAAAGGTGTCTGGCTGCTGGTTTCTTGCTTTATTATAGGTAGCAGCAGCAGTCAAAATTAGAGATCAAAATTGGACAAAATTGGATTCTAGTAGGATTTCAGAAGGGACATTTCGGCCCCCGAAAACTTAATATTGTGATTGATTTTCCGTCATGTTCGGCACGAAATTGGGTGGTGTTTTGCTGTTTCGGCTGTGTTTTAAAAAAGGTGTCTGGCTGCTGGTTTCTCGCTTTATTAGAGGCAACAGCAGCAACAAACAGTGGTATAAACATTGGTCGAAAACTATAAACATTGGTATATTATTGTGATTGATTTTGCGTCATGTTCGGCACGAAATTAGGTGTCTGGCTGCTGGTTTCTTACTTTATTAGAGGCAGTAGCAGCAATCAAAATTAGAGATCAAATTGGACAAAATTAGATTTCTATTGGACAAAGTTGGATTTCTAGTAGGATTTCAGAAGGGACGTTTCGGCCCCCGAAAACCTATTCTTGTGATTGATTTTGCGTCATGTTCGGCAGGAAATTAGGTGGTGTTTTGCTGTTTCGGCTGTGTTTTAAAAAAGGTGTCTGGCTGCTGGTTTCTTGCTTTATTATAGGTAGCAGCAGCAGTCAAAATTAGAGATCAAAATTGGACAAAATTGGATTTCTAGTAGGATTTCAGAAGGGACGTTTCGGCCCCCGAAAACCTAATATTGTGATTGATTTTCCGTCATGTTCGGCACGAAATTGGGTGGTGTTTTGCTGTTTCGGCTGTGTTTTAAAAAAGGTGTCTGGCTGCTGGTTTCTTGCTTTATTAGAGGTAGCAGCAGCAATCAAAATTAGCGATCAATCAAATTTGACTAAAATTAGATTTCTATTGGACAAAATTGGATTTCTAGTAGGAGTTCAGAAGGGACGTTTCGGCCCCCGAAAACCTATTATTGTGATTGATTTTGCGTTATGTTCGGCACGAAATTAGGTGGTGTTTTGCTGTTTCGGCTGTGTTTTAAAAAAGGTGTCTGGCTGCTGGTTTCTTGCTTGTGATAATGCATTTGCCAAAGTTTCTCGTCACACAGCTTGCCTGTTTCACCAGCAATCCCCGATTCTTTACCGGGGTCGGCGGCAGGGGCGGCAGCCCTTAAATAGGTAAGAATGGATATTAAATTAAATTCAGGTGTTGATGTTAAAGACGGTTGGTTTTGATACTTGAAATGGATAGGATAGCTTTGATCCTTAAACGCTTGGCTGCTTTAATTTCTAAACTTCAAATGGTTGGTTGGTTCAAAGTTTAATGCTTACTGTACAGTGACCGATGACCTGTATAGCACATAAAGGGGGTTGTCGCTGTCTGGATTTTAGGATATTTTAGGGATGGTCCTGCGGTACGTCTGGTTCTAGCTGGCTGGAAAATTCTCCACGTCATTCGAAAACCTTCCCAATCCACAAGGGGGGTTCTACAAGGCAAGCTTTGATGCAGGACCCATGGTTGGTGAGCATCCAGATGGTGGAACCAGAAACTCTGATGTTGTCTCCTCGAAGCCCATTCGCGTTTTTCTATCGCTTAGAATAGATTCATATGACTCCGATGACCCAGAAATAACTCAGAAATGTCACAAACTCAAATGGGGGAGATCAGTGGCAATCACAACCAACAAAAGAAAAAAACATCATGGCTCATAGAGGTTCATAGGACTCACAATATCGCAGACTGCTAAACCCAATGATAGTTAAACCCTCCCCAACATTATAACCACTTAATTATAACCAACATTATAACCAACATTATAACCATTACTAACCATTACTAACCACAATGATTAATGTTGGGTGATAACCTAAAACCATTGCTAAGATTATAACCATTTACTAACCATTACTTATGCATTATAACCATTGATGATTACTACATCGGCAATGGTAAACCCTAAGCAAAACCATCCCCAGCCCGAGGCCCAACGGCGCTGTCCATTTCGTCTCCAGTGCCCAGATCCGGCACGTACATGCAGGACCTTCGGGCGGCGACTTATGGGACGACTTTATAGGATATGAAACCATGGGAATCTATGGGAATCTATGGGATTTATTGGGTTTCAGTGGGTTTCAGTGGGTTTTAATAGAGATTTAATAGGGATTTAATAGAGATTTAATAGGGTTTTAGTGGGATTTAACAGGATTCAATGGGATATTCATGGGATTTAGGGGGTTTAATAGGTCAATGGGATATTCATGGGATTTAGGGGCTTTAATAGGATACTCGCGGGACTTAATAGGACTTAATAGGACTTAATGAGCATATCATGGCCGTATCATGGGTGTATCATGGTATATCTTGATAATAAATTCAAATCTCCAAAACATAAAGTTGGAACTGGGTTTGTGCTTGTAGAAACTATGGCTAGATGGATTTATAAACTTATAAAACTGAGGGGTTTTCTGGGTCAGATGGGAAAGTTCTGCCCAAACTTCGCAAAATGTTTGGTGAATCCAAGGATGCCATAGAAATCCAACAGCAACAGCCATGGACAGCAAGTCATCAAGCCTCCAATCACGACCATTGGATCCCCTTGAGGCGCCACGCATTCCGGACCCCTCAGCAGCCACCATCTCCCGCAGGATGGCCATGACCGCTTCGCTGCCTGAGCGCCAGGGAAAGAATGGATTGGTTTTCTTGGGGAAAATCTTAACCGGAAACCATGGTTTTTACCATAACCGGAAACCATGGTTTTTACCATCAAATATAGGGGTTTCCTGTAAATTTTCCCATCATCCAATTCTATGACAGTAGTGTGACTGTCACTGAGTGAAAAGTGTAAAGAAAGCCGGCTGAGTTCCGGACGCTCTGCCAGCTTGTTGTGAGCCACCATCATGAAAAGCACCTGCCAAATGGAGAAACACGCCCAGGAAAAAATCTCTCCGAAGAGCTCTGAATTATGGAACTGCCAAACTTGTACCATATTTTCATCCAACAATGTCAAGAGCATGAAGTATGACTTGGTATATTATCCATTCTATCTACCCATATTTAGCCACTACCCCGCTCCAAACAAAAGAAAATAGAAAAGTAAAATCGATCCTGAATTCATCTAAATTCTAGTCGTACACTGAACCTGATGTATCCTTTTCTATCTTTTTTGGGGGGGCTAGTGTCAAAATCTCAGAGCTATGTCACGCACGGCGCCTTCTCTAAGGACTCCTTGCCCTCCGCAATCAGCTCCAGGAGCAACTTGTCCTGGCTATGTCATGGTGTTTGATGTATCTATTGTTTTTGTTTTTGTTAAAGCTAGTATTCCAGAAGTAAAGAAAGCTGCAAATGAAAAAAGTGCAGCTAAGCAGGGTGGCTATATAAATGGAAAAAAAATGTTGGAAGTCATGTTTTTTAATGATTTGACATGAATTATATCAGAAAGTATATGGAGGTTTCCTGTTGTAAATGTTCCCGTCGTCCCTGGGAAGTGTCGTCCTGCAGTTGGCGCCCATGAGAAAATCATTATCTGATCACATTATATATATATATATGTATTATGTTACCCTCTGGTAATTTAACATAGCTGTGGAAAATTGCCCATTTATAGTTGATTTACCTATTAAAGATGGTGATTTTCCATAGCTATGTTAAATTACCAAAGGGTATTTTCCAATTGTTTATATGGCTGAATGAAGCTGTGGCGTTGGGGGATTTCAAGTTGTTGCAAGGTTGAGTCAAGGGGGAGTCAAACTTGAAGTGCCGGATGCACGCACATGCAACAAATGAAAGAACGACCAATCGAGGGAGGCAACTTCTGCTTAGGACTTCGGCTTGCTAAACAGGTCGGCAAGGACGTAAGGCTGCTTCTTCCTTGGTTCACTATCAGAAAGCAAAATTCCATTTGGTCACGTTGTGTCAAGTTCGTTGCGAATCCGTTGCCAATACCCCAGAAAATGGGGGATGGTTTAAACCAACCAATATTAAACCAATATTACCCTCTGGTAAACTAACATAACTATGGAAAGATCCACCATTTTTGATTAGGGAAAATCCACTATTTCTATGGTCATTTTCAATAGTTATGAACCATCCCCCATTTTCAGACCCACATCATCCGTTCATCCGTTCGGGGCTTGTTTCGGAGAGGGGTTTCCAAGTAACTGGATGGAGGCTGCAAAGGGCCGCTCGTTGGAGAGGTACTTCTCTAGCACGCCGCGGACCTCTACACGCTGTCTTGGACAAAGGGAACGTACGACCTGCGACCTGCAATGACCATGGTCAAGATCCAAGAAAACCATCCTCTGGTAAACTAACATAGCTATTGAAAATGGCCATAGAAATAGTGAGTTTTCCCATTAAAAATTGTGATTTCCCATAGTTATGTGGGTTTACCAGAGGGTAAGATGTTTAAAAAAATTTGGGGATGTGATCGATGAAATCTTGGAGTCAGAGTCCCCGGCAGTTTCTGCTGCTGCCTCCCGGTTGGCGAAGCCTGGCAGAGATATCAGCATGGCTATGCCTGGAAACTAACCCCCATCTAGTTCGATGATTTTCCCAGCTACAAACCATGTATATCCATTTACATATATATATATATGTTATATATATATATATGTTATATATATATATATATGTTATATATGTTATATATACATATATGTTATATATATACATACCCCATTTATATCCGTTTATATCCATGATTCTGAAGCGGGTTTCCCAGCCTGCCATTTTTGATGATCCCCAAAAACGGCCAAAAATCTCCGCCTGCGAACATGCGCTCCACAATCAGAGGACCCTTCGCTTCCGTGCAGTAGCCTGAAGCCGCTCAAGGGTCTGCGGCCCAAAAAGCTGCCGTTTGATGTTGGAAACCTGGAAAATATGGACAGAAATAAGGAAAACATCCTCGAACTACCATCCTGGAAACACGGCTCATTACTTCCGCATCTTTTTTGGGGTTGCTAGAAGGGGATATCCTACAGTACCAGACAAGCCTTAGAATTGATGGATAAAGAAGCCCACACTGAGTAATGGTTAAACCCCAAGTATTGATGAACAAATTCTATTTAAAAACATTGGTTGGTGGTTGAATACCTATGCTTAATGGGGAAAAAAAAACATGTTGTCCTGCCTTCTTTTCCAAGCAACCAAGAGTCCCAAAGTAGTGACTCCAAGATCTCGACATCTTTGTTTTTGCTGCTACGTTTGGTCAGTTTCCAAAACTTGGGCGAGCCCGTTTAAACAATCACAATGATCTGCTTAGTGGTGGCATATGGTGGCATAGTGGTGAGCCTTGCTGGTGAGATTCAGGATCCAAGCCAGTTCAGAAACAAATCAGACTACAATCATCATCATCATCATCATCATCCTCGTCCTGGTCCTGGTCCTCGTCATCATCATCATCATCATCATCATCATCATCATCATCATCATCATCATCATCATCATCATCATCATCATATCCCATTGGCCTATATTAGATTGTCATAACAACTATCATAAGTGAAACATTGGAAAACAAATGACTCATCAGTAACTAAATAACTAATCAGTAACCTATCATAACTGTCATATACACAACCTTCTGCCATATACACAACATTACACAACTACCATAGCTACCATAGCTATCACCAGCAGCTCACTGATCGCATTTGTCGAGGGACCATCCAACAAGGACAGGAGCTCAGCGCGTGGCACCTCAATGTCCTGGGGATCCGATGGGTTTGGGTTGTTTGTCGGTCACTCTTTAAGTGGGAAAAGATGGGAAAAGATGGGAAAAGATGGGAAAATATGGGGAAAAATTGGAAAAACACGTAAAAATATGTGGAAGGAAGAGATGCGAAAATATGCTGGGGATGGTTTATAAAACCATTTCACCCCCAGATCTAGAGGGGGAGTTCCAGAGTTCCGGTTTCGACGTTCCCTCTAACGATTTCTGGGAATCAATTGCAGGCGCCTAACGTGTGCAAGGTTGTGTAACGTCTGTGCAAGGATGTATCCCCCATATGGGTAGACCATCCTGCCTGTTCCACGGGCGCGCCAATGGTGAACTCACCTTCAAAGGGCAAGATCTTCTTCACCTGGCAGATCCCCAGCCGTCAGCGAAGGATCCCCCGTTGGGATCCCAAGGATACGCCCACGGGGCTTCACACCTTGGAAGGATCTTTCAACTCCAACCTGGCGATGTGGCGATGTCGGGGGGCTTTTTGAAAGGCCAAGGGTAGACATTGATGGAGTGAGATCAAGTTGCTACATGATCTGCTATGACCATCATTGATATGCTAAAACCTTCCATTTCATAATGCATCTGTACCAGTTCCTTCGTGTTCCAATTGGTTTCCCCCCAATTCCAATGGATTAGAAATGATCATATAGAGCAGATGTTTTCCGCCCAAGAAATCCCTATGAAATCATGGACACTCCGCGCCTGGCCAACAACTCCCCGGCCGACACGATGGAGCCGGCGGAAAGGGCGTGGGAGACCTTACCAGCCTCGGGGGACTTCAGGGCCTCGGAGAAAGCCGCGGAAACGTGGCGATTGGAACCAGCCAACAGGGGGATTCAGTTACCCTCTGGCAAACTAACATAGCTATGGAAAGATCCACCATTTTTAATTAGGGAAAATCCACTATGTCTATGGCCATTTTCAATAGCAAACTGTTAGTTTACCAGGCCGGGTAACTGATTTATAACTGATCCATAACTCAGTTCACTGATTTCACTGGGAACATCGAAAAAATCATGGACTTCACCGACACAACTTGGAGGCGTGTGCCAAAAATGATCCAAAACCAACATCCAATTGTAGAAAATCAGGTTCTTTATGAAGTTTTGGCAATTCTGAGGCTACCCATGTTCGAACACACCCATATTTTCGAAATCATGACTTTAATAGCTGGAGTACTGACCCCATCGACCAAGTCGTTTCAGTGGTGTTTGGTGTGCCATGAATGATACCGGATGTTATCAAGGGAAAGTGCCTTGAAAAACTCAGAATGTATGACGTAAGACACCAAGTAGCGCGAGCCAGTCGGAGAACACAGCCTCTTCATTCTTCCTGCTTTTATATATTTTTTTTTTCAACCAAGTATAAACAATGTATAAACCATTTGTACCCGATTTATAGACCATTTATACACCGTGAAAAAATCCCAATGTGTACGCCCCGTAAGCTTTTCGATCAGGCCCAGTAGGTCCCCCTGCCATGATCATCTTCATGGCCTCCAGCTCGATATATGCATCACCTGTCAGCCACTGTTTGATGATGGCTTTCATGGGGGTACCCCTGTCATCCATTTATAGATGGATTACCCTCTGGTAAACAAACATTGCTATTGAAAATGGCCATTTATAATATTTATAGTTGATTTACCCATTCAAAACGGTGGATCTTTCCATAGTTATGTTAGTTTACCAGAGGGTATAATGGAAAATCCATCTATAAATGGATGATGACTGGGGGTGGGTACCCCCCATTTATGGAATAGATAGGGATTTTCCATGAAATCAACCATCCATTTATAGATGGTACCCTCATGTCCATAAAAAAGTAATGCTCTGATAGGTGGAGAAACCGATCCCTCAGCTTTCGTTTTTCTGGTAGTCAACCAATAACCAATATAAAACTCTGAGCTGGAGATTTTGGAAAGGTTTGAACAAGCGGCAAGCGGCACGGCCTTTCGCAATCTCAGTTCCCTCATCATGCAAGTAGCGTACCACCTGAGTTTGACATCTGCTTGTAGCTGGCGATCACACCACACGCACGTTTATTTAGATGTTTGAAAGCTAGGCTCACCTTTTCTGAAACCATGTTTCACACATTCATCCGAACATTAAAAAAAAACAGCTGTGATTGGATGATGATTGACTGATACGGTGCTTATCTGTAGAAGAACCCCTGCTTTTGCTGGGAAGGCTATTTCCCAATGTCCAAAGCTTGATCTTTCCCATAGGGGGTGCAGTTCCACTAAATCAATGGGAGTTATAATATGTTATAACCATAGTTGTAGGGGTTATATATCACAACTTATGGAGGTTAATTGGAGGTTAGAATCCCATAATTATACCCATAATCTAACCCCAACTGCACCTCCAAGCAGTCCGCCGAGCAAGGCTGAGTAAGGCACTTTGCCATTCACATCTGAACGCAGCTCCGATGGATCGTAGACCGTGGGCACCATGATGGTTTGTGCACCTGGCAGATATCATCAGGGTCATTCCAACAAAACGCCTGAGAAATTCTGAAATTCGGCATGTTATCAGATATCAATAGATCCCATATTTTTTTATTTAACGCAGCTATCGAACGTCACCATGTCTAATAGGTAAACCATCACAACTCATCTAGTCTATAAATGGACCATCCAAATTCGCTATGTTAACTAACCAGAGGATATCATCCATGGGCCATATTTCACCATGGATTCTCAGGCATCATCCACACAAGAAGTGATCCAATGAAATTATCGGGTCAAAACGTTCTATCCAAATAACTCAGGTTATAACCTGTGGCTATTTCTCCAAATAGAAATTCAATGAAATTCATCCATCCATATCTATAAAATATCTAGAAACAGCTTTGTTGGTCTAATCAAAAATCATCTATAAATGGGGCTCAAAACTCTGTACCCCTGTAGTTCCCACGTCCCAACAACTGTCTGTGGTATCCCACGGCGCACCAATGATCAGTCGCAGCCCCAAGGCTTCTTCCTGCCCCTTCACCTGCTGACTGATGTTGCCTCGCCAGGCACGTCCTTTTTGATCCATCAAGTAATGGTGTTTAACTATAGTTCATAGGGATTTCATGGGATTTCAACTATGATTAACAGGGATTAAACTGATTAAACCCTCAACACTAGAGATTTGAGATTTACGGGCCGACTTGGGTGGCTCCCTTGTGGGGGTCAGTTTTGCTATGACTCGGGGATTCCAACCTCCATAACTTGGGATATGGGGCCCCTACTATGGTGATCTAAGCCACTTGTTGACAGCCTGTACCCCCTGCATGGGAGGATTGATTCCCTTCTGGCAATCAAACAAAATCCACGAGACGTGGCCATGGGATGTGCTTCGCACGCCCAGCCTAGGCTCACATAGAGGGAGCCGTCAGGTTGCTCCCGTACCTGACTTTGCCGGACGAAGAGTTACTGTATATGTTTTACATGTATTATACATTTATGTATGTACATAATATATATATATATACATAGTAACCAAAAAAAATGCAGAAGGATTTAACTATTTTAGAAGGATTTGACTGCTATGTCTGTGACTGTTGATGATTCTACTTGCATTGTAGTTCCATCATGTCAACCACCATATTTGTCGAAGGTTATCTATATAATTATATATTATATATGTCTATATCTATATGATTTCATGTACATGTATATGTATGTATCTGCAACATTACATGACTAAACAATCTACACATCAATCTATCAAGCAACTGTTGGTTTCAAAACTTATGTCTTCCCATAGCGACACAGCAGCCACAGCCGTCCAGCGACGGCACCTGGCCTTGGCCTTCAAGGTCTTGCCATTGATGGTGAAGGAAAAGGTGTCTGGACGCGTCCTCACAACCGATGCAGAACTGAACAAAAACGAAAAAAAAACATCTGGCAGTTGATGGTTTTCCGATGAAAACTTTGCAGAGACCACCAGGTCCAATGGTCCAACATTGATTTTCTCAGGGTATTGATGGAATCCGGATCTTTTGGGGGGATCCAAACCTCATCACTTGGAAGGAGAACTTCTTCTCGTCGTAGGTGATCTCAATTGGGAAGTTCACCTCAGCAGTGCGGATCAAGCTGACTCAAAACATGAAATACTACGTTTAGATACGTACATTTAGATACATTTAGATACATTTTAGTACATGCTAGGTTCTTGAGTCCACAATAAGTCCACAACATTTCGGACATGTCGTCAGCTTTTCATGCCTCGCCCCATGAAAAGCCATGAGTGGCGCACCAAAGCATCTGTATCACCTGGCAGCATCATCTCCCACTGAGCAACTCATCAAATCAGAAGCTCGTCATGTCTCAAAATGTAGAGATTCGCAAACACTCCACCCAGGTCAGATTCCTGGCATAGACATGTCAAGCAGGTCAGATTCACGCTTTCCCAGCAGAACCAACTGACCCTTTTGCATCGATGTTAAGGCATCCTTGCAGGCACACTCTAAGCAGAAATAAGCCGAACAAATGGGACGAAAATCACAGAAACTCAGGAGGCTTCTTCTTGTCGTTCAAAGTCGTGGCCCAAGTTTGCAGTATTGTTCTGCAAATGGATGGTTGAAAAAATGGAAGATCCTAAAATAAAATGGATGATGACTGGGGGTACCCCCATTTTATTGGGAAAACCCCAATCCTAATTTGTTTATTTAGAAAATGGATTATCCTTTTATTGAAAATTTTGGGAAACCCCTATTTGGATAGAAACTCATCACGAATCACCTGCGTGCGCGTTTTGGCCGTGTCAAAGGCCCGGTAGACTGCAGCGTAGAAGACCACGTCCATGATACCGGTGCTGGGAGAGATCGCTTTGCTGGCAATCAACCTGGCAGTGTCGAGTTCCATGAGTTTCCAGTTCCTCCCAGAAGCTAATTGTGTGTGTGTGTGTTTGCAAAACTAAATGGAAAATAGTGGAAAGATGTGGAGATCATAGGGGCAGTAGGGGCTTTTTTCTGCTCGACCAACTGCTGACCACAGAATCTGGAAAGAACACAGCCGGGAGGGCCCATCCAGCCACATGGTGTCGATGGTGTTCTCCTCACGATGTCAATCCGGGATGCATGACCCCCTTCATTTAGTAAGATAGGTTAGCCATGGTGAGCCCCGTAGAATAGTGATATTTTTTCTATTACCTTCTGGTAAACTAACAGTTTGCTCTTGAAAATGGCAAAAATATCTATGGTTGATTTACCATGATTTACCCATTCAAAAGAACATGAGATTCTCCAGTTCCGCTACCTCTTAGTTTACCAGAGGCATCTGGTAAGCTACCCTCTGGTAAACTAACAGTTTGCTATAGAAAAAATCACCATTTTTCATAGGTAAACCATCTATTTCTATGGGCTATTTTCCATAGCAAACCTTGTAGGCTTCCGTCTCCAACAAGTCCACCAAGTAGTCAACCTCAGTGGGGGACAACTGGGACAACCCCCAAGTCACTGGGGATGATCATCGTGTCTGGTAACTTTCATGAAATAAATGAAATAACATGATGGTTATCATTATGATTGTATCTGATCAAAGGATCTATAATTATCTACAATTGAAAATAAAAAGAAGAAATATGTGGAACATGTCGGAACCCGTCATGCTACCCACAAAAAAAAACGGAAGCATCAGCACTAAGTCGCCCTGCCGGATGTCGGATGTCTCCAGAGACATCAAGGTTCATCAGTGCAAATCGCAAGCTCTTCCTGCGCCCGAAGCACCCAGCCACTGGGGGCCTGGTGAAACAGCCATGCCCTGCCTGGCAGCCTCACGGTTGGGGCCCTTGGCGAAGATGTGGCCGAACTGAGAATCGGCGAACTCGTGGATGCCTCCCTGGCAGTAGAGCTAAACCATGCTAAACGGGGGAGGTCCAAAAATGAAGGTACCCCCAAGTCATCCAAATTAGACCATTTTTGGTATGGAAACCCATGGTTTTGAGAATTTCCCATTTATAGAAACCACCAAACCATGCCAAACATCTACTTTCATGGCAAACCCTCCATTTTCTGGGCACCTCTTCTTGCACTGCGCTAGGTTCGGTATCGTTTCATGCAATCAAAAAATACCACCGCCTTCAAGCCCACGCTGAAGTAACCCCAGCAATCACCGGAGGACTGGAACCTGTCATGATACGTCATGCCGTCAAAAAATGGTGGAATAACATGTGCTGAAGATAACGGCCATTAGCTGCAGCTTTGTAACAATGATCATTTTATGAGTTTCGATTCCAGAAAAAATATTGAGTTTTCCTCAGTTTTTCCAAGTTAGAATTATATCATTATATAATATATCTTTATATATACTATATATTTATATATACTATATACTATATACTGATCTTCTCATCCAAAGGTCATCAAAATCAACACCTGCAATCGTGCGCCCCGCTAACCTGATGCTGTTGATCTTGCCACTGGTGGGTTTGAAGCCCTCGTCCGGGTTCTCCGCCGTGATACGCGAGGCGCAGCAGTGCTGAGCAGTGGCAGAGCTGGGCATTTTGCCCATGGGAATCCCCTGGGGAACATCAAAATAGCTGGTATAATGATGATAAATGGGTATGGGTCAATACCTATAGATACATTACTATAGTGGGTTATTCACATCCATTTATTTACCCGCTATGACTTGGGGTTCACAAAAGGTACCAGGGTGCCATGACCCATCCCCAAATAGCTGGATGTTCACGCAAAAACCCACAACAGATGGTACGAGTAACATGAATTGATGGCTATTCACGGCGTTGATCCACAACCATTTGGATGATTCAATGTGAGTATTTCGGATGTCTCGAGATATCTGCGGGCCGCGTCCATCGTGCCGAGGCGTGCCGAGGTCGAGACAGTTGTGATGGGAGGATAGTTCACAGCGAAGAAATCGATCTTGGAGGTTTCAGTCCTAGCACCGGGATCACCCAAAAGTTCATGTCGAACACAGGAAATGGATTTTTTGAAATTCAGAACCATACCCCTGGGCATCAAAAAAGGTAATTTCCAGGTTAGGAAGAACTTTAAACTTTTGTTCAGTCTCTGGGCTTTGAACGGATCCATGCCGTAGAACCTGCGCCGCGACAAAGATGGAGCACCATATGCTGCGGAATCACCCAAGTTCACTTACTGGAACTAATGATTAACTAATGAACAAAAGCAAAGCATCTCAAGGTTACAAACGGGAAATAAGAATGATCCCATCATGAAATTGGTTCTCTCGGCAGACAACCACAGCCAACTCCAGATTGCGGTGCCTTCGGATGTCCGGCACGTTGTAAAGTGCGATGCCCTAAGATCGCTTGAGGCGTGCAACACCGCACGTGGTTGGGGCATTGCGATGCATCGGGAGGAGCACAGACGTGGCTTTCACAAAAATCCGAAAAAATCTCCCAAAGTATGGCTCAAATATCTCAAATGTCCACAATGGCAACCAGCCACAATCCATCACAATGCCAGTTATTTGACAGTTATGTCCACCTCCGAGGTGCCAGTCCCGTTGGTTCCAGGCTTCCTAGGCTTCCTGGCCATGGCAATCTGGAGCTGCGTCGCAGGCATGTTCACGCCAGTGATGGACTGCGGTTTTAGTGCGGTCAGTCTCTTCAGTGGCCAAGGCAGAAGTGTCTCTTTTAATGGGCATTCATGGTGATTTAAGAGGAACATCTTCTATAAATGGAGGTTTCAATACTTTCTTTATGGGAAAATCAAGATGGCTACGCAATGATTCCCCCTTGCATTTCACCCAGACTTCATCTGTAAATGGATTAATGGTGATGACCCCTGGAATCAACATGGCTGGGAAATCCTCAACATGGAGGAATTTTCGATGGAATTTCCGGCAAGCCATGTTAGGGCCTCAGGGGATACATCGGATACGCATCACATATCATCACATCACCTCCCCAAAAGGTCATACTTGTTCCGTCCTCTGTGGTGCATGTTTTTTGCACTCTGCAATACTGTAAGACAATTATGGATTATATGGATTATATGGGACCCTGATACAGATGGATTGTCCCATAATTATAATCCCATAATCCATATATAATCCCATATTAATAATAATGTTATGGATTGTTATGGATCTTATGGATCATGGGACATGATATCGTTCAGCGGCTCCGAACCTCGGTCACAGGGTGCTCCACTTGCAGTCGTGGGTTCAGCTCCAGAAAGCAGAAAGTGTGGGTTTCAGGACCTCGGATGATACAAAAAACGGGGGACAAAGGGGATGGCAATCCATGTCCCACTCAAACATCACAAGATTTCAAAGGGGACTGGGTGGTCCAAACAAATTGGACATTGACCAATCTCTGTCTGTGCATGGACCATATTAGCGACCTGCTGTTTTAGCCGTCGAATTCCATGTTTTATGGACGGTCTGCAGGTGGCACATGTCTCCTGGTCTTCCTGTTTTTTGGGGTCCCAGAAGAACAGGTTGAACAAGAGGATGATGATAAATGAGGGTGTCCCAGTCTTGGAAGACCTATGGAAGACCTAGCGTTCCACTTCCAAGAGGCTGTAGAGGTACTCAACGGTGCCAGCCCCTGGCTTCAGTGAGTTTGAAGGCCAAGCCCTCCAAAAAACAGGACTCGCCCACAATTCAGCCCCCATTTTATTCCAAACAATATGTCCAAACCTCTACTGACCGCACTAGCAGATCCAGCTGGTGGTTCTGTCAAACAACAACTCCCCAAGAAAGTCACAGCCACGTGGCACCCGTTCCACCTCGGTATCCCACCAGTGCTGTGAGTCGCATGGCAGCACGCTCCATCTCATGGAACCTCGTGGCCACCAAGGGATTGTCTGGGTATTCAATATGTTTAATATTGGGAGGGAATTGATTGGTCGTCTTATCATTGTTTATGAATGTTTCTTATATATATATATACATGTGGTTTATCATGTCTTATCACTGCCAAGTTGGGCATGAGGGATCGGCCACAAACCGAACACCATGGCACAGTCCCATGGGAGCCCCAGCACTTCCTTTTTGGCGATGATGGGAGGACCTTCTTCGAAGATCTTCCTTAGCAAAGGCTGCTGACTCAATGGCTTTTTGCTCCAAATCTTTGCCGTGACATAAGACCTGGTTGACCCAATGTTTGCTGATGTTTGCTGGGGTATCTGCAGTGTCCCATGATATCCCTCCAATTTCCTATGTGTTTGACCGTCAAACCCCGGATACCCCGCAGCCCAGTCTCTGAAAGCGACGCTGGGTGGAGCAATCGCGACCGTTCAGGGCCAGAGTGTTTCCGTACCTTGCAGCATCTCCTGTTTTGTTCATCCATCCCCCGATGCCCAAAAGTACATTGCCATTAAGATAATGAAGATTCACTTGTCTACTTTTTTGGGGGTTCCTATAAAACCTATAAATATCTACAATCTACAATATGAAGTAGGCATTATATACCCTGCCAACAACCATGCGGAAGGTGGCATTGCCGACCTGCGAGAATCTGGAAGATTACCAATGAAGATGGATGATCTCTGATCATGTCAGCCGGTGAACCCGTGGAGGGGCACTACGGTTTCCCCATGGACAATGAATGGCCAATGTTGGATGTACCCTCTGGTAAACTAACATAACCATGGAAAATCACCATTTTTAATGGGTAAATCCACTATAAATGGTCATTTTCAATGGCTATGTTAGTTTACCAGAGGGTATTGGGTCCCCATTCTTGGAACCCGGAAACATTGAGACACACCGAGATGCTGATGATTGAAATTAGTCCAGCAGAAACATGGCAGAAAAAATTAGTCCAGCAGCTACTCCCTGGTGGTTCCTAATTTTGCTAGCCGCCAACATACCGATGATTGACCTTTATCGTGTTGATCTATCTATGGGTCTGAAAAAATAGGGTACCCCTAAATCCGGTGAAAATCACTGCGCACTCATCGCCCAAGATCTGGATCTCCAAGTGTCTGGCTTTTGACACCATGCGCCTAAAAAAAACCAAGTGCTGGGAAGACCAAAGGCAAGACTAGTCTCTCCTTAGAAAACTCCTTAGAAAACTGCTAGAAAATCGTGGACATCTACAATGTTGAATGTGAAGTCAGAGAGTCATGCAGCTTTCTCTTGACTGGATGGCTGGTTTCAACTTCAAACATCTAGAAAGCCATCATGTTCGCACTTGAAAATGCCTAATCAGCTGTTTAACCATCAAAAATGGTGGTCTAGCTATCAAACATGGTGAACAATGGTGGTTTGAGAGTCAAAATTGATTAAAAGATTTTAAAAGTGGTGCTTTTTGTCAGAAATGGTGATCAAAAATGGCGAAACATGGTGGTTTCACTACCAAAACTCTCTTGCTTTGATCCGATCGCCACCTGGGTGTCAGCTGGGAGCATCTGAGGCCGCCACATCAAGAAAATTGGAGAGCCAGGCACCTCCATCAGACCGATATTGATACCACGTGCATTTGATTGTCATCCAATGATTGATAAGACCTAATCATTAGTCATTGTCCATTCGCTACATAATATGGTTCCACATTTAAAAGACTGGGTATGAAGCCAGAGAACTGGTCATTTCTTTTAGATACTTCTATGCGGTATTTCAAATCCATGTTTAAACCATATCAAACCATATTAAACCGTATGTTAAACCATATATTAAACCATATTAAACCATATTTAACGATATTAAACCCATCCAATTTTGGGCCTCGGAGAAAAAAAACGATGGAACGTTCTCGCCGCTCTCGCCTCGGTTTGCACGTTGGTGAAAGCCAGCTTCAACTCCTTCAACGCGCCAAGGGGCCATTGGGGTGTTGAACCATGTTGTCAATGCTATAATCTTATGAAAAAAAAACAATGAAAATCATCATATATTCTGTGTTATGAAAATTCTACCATTGATATATACATAATATATATATATATCGATGTGTCACTGTTGTGCTTGAAAAGCATGCTTGAAAAGGAATTGTTGAACCATTATATATACAGTACCCGTTCTTCTTGAAACGTCGAAAACTCAAAACTCCCAAAGAAAATCTTGGAGCATTAAAACATATTAAAACATATTAAAACTAACTTCTGATATGCACCCATCATTTTTCGGGGAACATCCACATCTACCCGTCACGTCCTCCATGTTGGTGGCTTTGCGGATACCTTTGCCGCCGCCACCCTCAGACGCCTCTTAAAGCCGAGCATGTTTGGTAACCCCCCAGAGAGATGCAGGAAGCTATGATTTGTTGTCAGTTTCACTCATTTATATCACTATATATCACTACTTGATTGGATTGTAACCTGAAATTCTATCTTTTTGGGTGGTGTTTTGGTGTTTTCCTACTGGCCATAGAAATTGGGACAATGATGAACCAACTATGCGCTGCCATGTTCTTGGGGAAAAATCATCCAAATTCCATGGCCATGGCAGCGATTTGCTTTTCGGCATCGGATTTCCATAGGGGTGTATAAATCTACCTAATATGGACTGTGTTGGGGGAAAAAAACGAAAACATACAGTATGGCATATATTTTTCAGACATTCCATTCGGGCATTCTATTCAGACATTCTATTCTGGCATGTATTCTAACTATTCTAACATTCTCTCTTGGGCAGTAACTCTGATAAAATCTAAACCCTCACCTGGCAGGGTGGGAAACATCATCCCTTTCTTCGATTCCAAGTCGTGGATGTTCCGATAATAAAAAATCGCCTTCAACAAACCCAAGTGATCCATGCCTTCACCATGATGGGGAAGCCGATCTTTCCAGCTCGCTCCAAGGCATCTTCCACCGTCTTCACCATGGCTTTCTGGAAGACCTGGGACCATTGAGGGACCATTGAGGCACCTAATGGTAAGCACTGGGACCCTCATCCGTGTAGGGAAGATTAGGGAATGGGAAAATCAAACCAACTTAAATCAGCTAGAAACTACCAATCCACTTTCATTGGCTCTACACCAAAGCACATCAAGTATTGGTGATTGTTGGAGTCCATGGAAATCCCTCAGTTTGCACACAACTGAACATCTATTATATTGGTTCAATCCCATTTCTTCAGATTCATCATTGCTTAAAGACTTAAATCCCAGTAAATCCCATCTCATGCTTGCTTGCAAATCATTCTACAGTCGATGGCTCAAATGTTGAAGCCCAATTTTCTTCAATATATCAATTGGTTTCATGAGTTTCATGGTTCTTTTTTCAAAAAAAACTAGATTTCATGAGAAAACCATGGGAAAACCCATGGGAAAATCCGCTGAAGATCCTTCCCCACCGATCTCTGGGGCCCCCAAGCATCATCGGGCACCTCACCTTCGGCTGTGAGTTCACAGGTGAGGCCGTCCCCGCTCCATGGGATACTCGGCACCTGAAAGCGGCACCAGCACCGTGGCTTTCCATGGCTTTTCTCATGGGTTTTCCCTAAAGATGTAGAGGATTTACTGTTATTCAACCATATTTTAAGAAACTCCCTATCTTTTTGATGGGATTTTAATTTTGTCAGATCTTCAATGGTGGACAAATGCAGTCAGAAAGATTCAATGGTTGACCGGAAACCATGTTCTTTTCCCATGAAATATGGAAATTTCAGGGGTAAACCGGTAACCCCTCGATATCTTTCCTCCAAATATGCGAGGAATGAGAACAAGATTATCATCATCACATTATCCAATTCCCCTATTCCCTTCAATGGTTCAATGGGACCCGAATTCAATAGGTTCGATACTCAACCACGGTTTCTTGGGTGGCTCTGAAAGGAGTTCTTCGGAGTTGTTCGGAGCAAAAAAATGGCATACCATTTCCATCGACCAGTTGACCTATCAAATAAAGAAACGAAGGTGCCTAAAAATTGCATATCATGTATCATATGTATAATATTATATGCCAGCAGTGCAGTTGGGGCCCGATTTCTCAACATTTCTCAAGCGGCCCGCCTTGGCCGTTTGCGCCAGAATGTTGGCAGCAATCTTGTCACCCAACCTGGACGGGTCGACCCCAAAAAACCAGGGCGGTGGGGCAGATCTCCATATCAGGCATCTTAAAACCCATGTTGAAACATCAAGAAGTATTCTGAAACTACTCTAAAACATCATGAAACTATTCTGAGACCGTTCCGAAGCCATTCTGAAACCATTCTGATGCTACTCTGAAATTCTGAAACTAGGATCCAAACAAGAGTAAAAAGGTAACTGCCATCCCAACTGCCAGCAGTTGTCATGGCCAGTTCTCCGGGCGCCCCTACGCAGCCATCACACCGGAAGGAGGCCCAATGAAGGTGATGCCCAGTTCCTGTAGGTCGCTAGGACCGTGAGGAATCCAAATGGGGGTACCCCCAGTCATCATCCAATTTGTCATAGGATTTTCCATCCATAAACCATCCAGAAATTGGGGGTACCCCCATGACTATGAAAACCACCATTTGAGTGAATCAAAAAAAAAAAACAGCTCCATCGCACCTTCAACTTGGCTGGCAGCTTGGGATTCTCACTCGCGTGCCTGGGATCGAACATGATCCGAACACACGGCTCACTGGGTCTCCTGGAAATCTCTAGCACTGCCGGCAACTTCTCTACTGAATAATTGGCCGTCATTGTTTGACCTGCTAGCTTGGTCGTTTGCAAACTTTCAGCTGTCTTACTGCAACCTTGCATTGACTTTACTTCTCGCTTCACTCAAGAATTATATGGATTTATCATTATTTATCATGATTTATCTTACGTAAATATATACAACACTTCTCCCAAGCCGGCGCAACTGCTCATTTTTCAGCGAAGCTTGCCATGCAATGGGAGCTTCCAAGAGGTGAATCTTCTCCATCCAGGGCAAGCGTAAACGCCAGGAGTGCAGGAACATCCTCAGCTATGCCATCTGCACCATCCCCAAGTCATCTCCATTTTTGAGTGATTTCCACCAACCATCCCCAAATAATAGGTCTATGGCATTGGGTTTCCCCCAGCAGTATTTAAGTAGTGGGGTAAATGGTATTTGTAGGGCTGATGAATATGACTAAATAATATTAAATCATACAGTATTAAATATGGACAAATGGTGCTATGAAATCTGCAATGCCTCGGTTTTTTGGAAGTGGCACGTATCACATATGCCTACAGCATCCTACAGCTGCTACAGCTTGCTGAAGCTTTTCTAACCGCAGCATCCGGTGGCACGTCCAACGCTTGCCCCAGGGCTGACCACCATAGGCATCATCTCCCAGGATGGGATGGCCTGAAGATGCCAGGTGCACGCGGATCTGGTGCCTGGGAAAGACAGGATGGCCATGGATGGCCCACGGGGCCCATGGGCAGCCTCGGAAATGATCCATGAAACATGCTGGAAGTTCCATATTTATGTTAGTTTGCTGGAGAATCACCAAAAAAACTCCAGGCTCTTTTGGAAAATATGAAAACGGGGAAACTCACGCGTTGTTGCAATTGGACTCAGTTCGAAGATTACACCTTCTCATGGTATTAGGTCTCTTCATTCCCTGCCCGCGCCTGCGGCCTGTCTTTGGCTCCACTTGCACCAGCGAAGCTTCCAGGCGTCTCAACTTGGTCTCAACGCTGCCTTCAGAGCAGCCTCCCTGATATGGCGGATCCTGCAGGGTACCTACAATCTCAAACCAGCGCCATGTGGGCTATCAAAACGACTTGCACCAAAACCCTGCATCATCTGCATCTTAGATATTTAAAGAAAATGTGTGCACAAACACCCCCCAAAAAAAAGTCCCCAGGGCCTTGGGCCATTGACCCCTCTGCAACACCTTCACCGTGGTCTCTGCCGCCTGCCCCTCCGCCCCAGCCACGCTGCGCGCGAAGCGTCCAGGCACGTCCCGCAGGCGGTCACAGAGCCGGTTGCCGTTCCCATCCCAGTTGACTGGGGGATGACCCAAAACCAAGGCCTGGTAGAACTTGTGCACCTGACAGGCAAGGAGAATGGTTGTTGATTTAACATGTGTATAATTTGTATGTAGAGAATCTATGATAAGTATTGATAAATATGATCATGTATCAAATGGAAAGCCCTTTATATGCAATCTTGTTTGAAAGCAATCAATCACTGTGGGGGTTGTTAGGTTTGTAGACAACAATATGGCAGGTACATGCAGGACGTAACGCTCACACATGGCCACACGTGATTGGCTATTGGGCCCCACCTCACGTTTTCGAAAGAGGGCGCTGGCATGCTTGGCTGCCTGCTGATTCAGCGCCACCAACATTAATCCACTGGTGGCAAAGTCCAAGCGATTGCACATGTAGGTCCTTTGGTTTGGGAACATCTCCTTCAGCCAATCATGAACTGTCAGCTCTCCAGGCCATGTCCTGAAAGGCAGCGATATCACTGGCGTTCACTTCCCAATTTTGGGGTTTCACTGTTGGGACCCATGACCTTCGGAACGGCTAGCCCCCCCCCCCCCCCGGCGGCAACCGACTTGGGCTCCTGTAGCGATCACCTGCATCGTTTCGGGGGAGGTAAACCCTCATGCCCCATGGCTTATGAATTGCCAGCAACCCATCCTCTTCCCAAATCTTCTTCACGGAAGCATCCATGAAAACCTGCCGGGATGAAAGTCAATGATTCAAGAGGTCCGAATCCATTGGATGATAATCTGTAGACTTAATACCATAAACCTCCAGTTGGGGGTTATACTGCACAGTCTTGGCAAGTCAGGGGATGGATTATAGTTTAATGCTTGTCACATTCTCACTGATATTTCTCTGGTCCTAAGTACCTTGGAGGAGATCTCGAAGACACATATACTGCCAGCCAAAGCTGAAGGTGAGGCGTTAAATCTGTAGATAGGCTCTCAGAAGTTTGCAGGTAAAGGAAGCTAAGGACGACTTACAAGAATGGTTTGCATCCTCACAGCTGTATCAGATTGCCGGGAGTGATTGCAAAGAAGTCTAGAAAGAAAACCACAGGTCAGCCTTTCCCAGAAGACGCAAAAGTCTGATTTTCATAGCTCAAATCTTTGGTTTCCCCTTCAAGACTGCTTGATAAATGCCGTAAATCGCAGTAAATCCCAACCCTTCACCTCTGGACGCCGCGCGCACATCTCGGTGACCTGGGGCCAGCACTGCTCCCCTGCTGCGAAGAAGCGCAGCTGCGCCAAGCGCCAGGCGATGGTCGGAGGGGAAAGGACGGCGCTGCTGCGGGCCAGGCCTGGGAAAAACAGGGGGATGGTCCTGGTCAGTGGGGTGTTCATGGGAGTTTGTGAATGGGATTTTGTGAATGGGATTCCCCAATATGTTCTCACTTTGCGTGGTCAACCACCATGAAAGGCGATTTCTTATTTTTGGTCTATTCACCCGTAAAAATGGCATGATTCCCCAATGATGTTTGCAATTGGCATCTTTCATGTGCGTTCATGTTGGAAAATTATCCCGGCAAGAGGCCCCAAACAGTGTTGGGGGACTGAAAGGAAAATGTATTCTAATGTTGATGATAATGTGAATGAATGTTGATGATGATGAGGATGATGCTGATGATGATGATGATGAGGATGACGAGGATGATGAGGATGATGAGGGTGATGAGGATGGGGGATGGGGAGGATGAGGATGATGATGATGATGATGATGATGATGATAAGCACACTTTGTGCGAGCCTGCGCAGTCCAAATGCACATGGACATGTCACAAGAGCCATTTTGTCTGGAAAGTTAGAGGAAAAATGGCCGCGGACACCTCCGTGGACATCGTTTTGTGCGAGCCTGCGCACTCGAAATGTACATGGACAGGACATGTCACAAGAGCCATTTTGTGCAGAAATTTACAGGGAAAATGCCGGACGCCCCGGATACCACCTCGATTGAACACCGGGCCTTAACACCTACCGTAAGAACCCCTCAGTGTGGCCACACTGTTTGGGGAATAATGAAAAATGTTTCTAATCTTAGTCTTACTTGCTTCGAATATAATACCCTACGAAGATGGGTGGAGGACTAGGGAGGACCCGTTCTGTAGGAAATTTAATCATATGTTGACCATGGCACAGATGGGAATTGGTCAACTTTTGGGGGATTCAAGTGAAATCTATATACTTTCTTTTTGGCACTGGAAGATGCCACAAATGCCTTGAATGCAGCGTTCTTGGGTGCTGCTATGAGGAGATGGGAAATAGAGTCACCAGAACTGCCAGTCCCCACCACATTTCCCACAGTCACATACAGAATAGCACCAACCGGTACCTTTCAGCCCCGATTCTTGGCACCTTCCTGTAGTTTGCGAAGACCCAACGGCGACAAGGGAGCACCCCAGCTGCGGCAAGCAGCCTCCACCTCAAAAAATGGAGAAAATGATGGGAAAATGATGATGAACTATGGGAGTTGGGGGTATTTAGGAGTACCCTATCTTCAAACAAACTGACTTAACCCATTTCTCAACAGTATTCCAAATTCCCCCAAAATATTCAATCCCCTAAATGAAACCCTGTTGGAATGGATTGGTTTCATGATTTGGGCCCCCCACCTGAGCCACCACCTCAGCTGGTGTAGCTCCACTCCAGGCTGAAGGCCATGGCAGCGCTGCCAGCGCTGACCCAAGCAGCGCGAGACAACGCCGCCGGACGGCACGGGCCATCCGGCGTCGGCGTCCCAGGCGTCGCAATCCAGCGGCCCATGGCAAACCGAGGCAGCTGGCATTGCGGGTTGGGGCTGGTGGTGAAAGCTTGCAAAGCTTTTCAGTCCTGAAAAATGGGTCAAGTTCTCAGGTCGGGTGCAGAAAGCCGAAATTTCAGCCCGCTGCTGTAGGCTTTAGGTACCGGACTTGACAAACCTGCCTCACTGATCTATGCAATCTCTAAATGCATTCTGCGAATCTTCCTCCATTCCAGCAAGCCAAAAGACAAGGCAAATGATCAATATGTGATATGAACATGTGGGGCAACTTGGTATCATCGTGAACGTCAAAATTCCTGGGATGTATGGATCTTCATCCCTCTCAATCATGAGAACTTATAGGCATTATAGGCAGGAAATATCAAGGCGGCTGGGTTCTGGGAGTCGGACCCCCAGCCCGGCCACACAGCGTCCACCTGTTGCTCTTGCGCAATGCGACCTGATCCAGTTGAAGGTCCCCTTTTTTGGGCTGTTTAGCTGGTTTCAACACGGATTTGTTTGAAAATATGGTGCCCTGAATTTAATGGGTTATTGTCATGCCCCCCATTCAACTAGCCATTTCGGGGTATACCCCATTTTCAGACACACCCATGTTTCGACCGATTATATAGGCCAAAAGACAAATCAGGTCCACATTGGCATAGTTGTTCACGTTCTTGCCCGAAGGAACCTGCCATCCAGTCCAGCGAGCTCGGGCAAACAGTTTCGGTACTGCCAAACGGAAGCGCTGGTTTGTTTCAGCATCGAAGGGTTGTCTTACATGCATCAAATGGTATGTCCAAAAAAGGGGTCTACCGTATTACCCTTAAAATCTCCTGGTTGATCATCATTCTCCCCAAGAATATTGCTGTAACAGACTCAGCCAGCCGGCGCCGCTGTCAGAGCTGTGAGCCTCAATGAATGAGTCCGCCATGCGAATGAACTCCGCATTGGCATTCAAGTCATC